TATACATTCTTTTTTTTATGTTCTTTTCCATTATGGTTTATCACAGGATATTGAATATAGTTCCCTGTGCTATACATTAGGACCTTGTTGTTTATCCATTCTAAATGTAATAGTTTGCATCTACCAACCCCAAACTCCCAGTCCATCCCTTTCCCTCTCCCCCTCGGCAACCACAAGTTTGTTCTCTATGGGCAGAGGTCATTTCTGACTCCTTGGTCAATTGTGTAGGTGTTTTTCCTGAAGAAATAGGTTGCTATCAAAGAAAGTAAAATAAAAAGTTTTGAGAAGATACAACATTAGGGGTTAGCGTCTTTCAGAATTGGAGACTTGGAAGAGAACCCAGAGGTCATGGTCCAGACTCCTCTCAGACCCCTCTAGAGAGGGCCTTTCCACCTCCTAGAATAAGGCAGTGTGAGAATCCATAACAAAAGCACTGCATTCTTGATAGTTGCTCTTCCCTGCCCAGGCTGACTGTGTTCTTAGACACCCCATTTTGGTGGCACATTAGATAGAACTCTCCTCTGTAACATCCCCCCGCTTCTCCTCCACCTCCCCCAGCCACGCAGGGACCTCCAGACAGACTCCCACTAGGGATTCTTTTCCCTTGTCAACTCCACAGAAACTAGAGTGTTCCTACTGCAGGCCAGGCTGAAGCTGCAGAGATCCGGTCCCTGCCCTGATGAAGCCTTGAGGTGGTGGAGGAGAGAGCCATTCCAGTCATGCACTTGCGGAATCGCAGGTGTGGATGAGGACCGGTGCGTGGGACTAAAGAGCAGATCCATGGAATGGGGAGGGGCACGGGGGCTGGTTTCCGATGTCCTCAGCATCCTGCCGAGTGTCCATCTGATGCTAAATAGGATGGAAAGTCAGAGAAGAACTGAGGATAGAACAAAGGCAGCAACAAAAATTGTGAGAAGGACTGCTTTCCTTCTTGTATTTTGAGCTTGCTTCCTTGGGACCTAGAGAACCTTATCTTGGGGCCATGAGAGATGAGAGGCCTTTGGGACAGGAGCTGGGAAGCAGTTGGGGCGGCGAGGAGTTTCATTGCCAGGCAGTCTGATTCAGTCAGATGCCCCAGGCCAGGGACTCAGTGTCCCCATCCACAGACGGTGGTGGCCGGAGCGGCCCGTTTGCAGAAAGACTGACCAAGAACTCAAGGCATTTGGCTACTTTGGTCCTTGTTTCTGTAAAACATGAAGGAATCTCTGTAATCTGAAGTGCATTTGTCATCTAATTTTCCTCCTAATGACATTGTAAAACATGTCTTCCTATCTGCCTTCCTTCTAAGGTCTGTTTAGACAAGTCACGCCTCTGACTGCGTGGGCTAGGAAAGGAGCATTTCATAGATCCTTTGTAAGAGTCAGATTTGCACATGTGCCAGAATATTAGTGGTGCAGTGGCTAGGGAGAAAATTAACCAAACTTGGCTCTGATTTCTTACTCTTGACGTATAATTCTTATTTTGTTGTTTTGATTCTCTTTCATTTTTCTATTTTTAAAGATAAGTCTCCCCCACCCCTCAAATAACCACCCATCTATTCTAAGAGCTAGAGACTGAGTGTTCTCAAACCAGCCATGAGTCAGTGACAACCTTTTACTCTTATAAATAGAAACATAAACTCTGTTCCTGCATGCACTTCATAGGCTGTCTCTCTAGCACTTTTCCTCCACAGCCAAGGAGCGTGCTTCTGAGTCAGCAGTCAGCTGCTGTGGGATGGAACTCGCAGGCCATTGCTGGTGGCAGAGATCGCACTGACATGCGGAGAGCGGGCCCCACCTCTTCCTCGTCTCTCCTCAGGCTCCTCACTTCCCTCGTCCCTTCCTTCCACACCTTGACTTTTCAGTCCTCAGGATTTCTGGCACCTTCTGGCCAGGTTTCCTGGTATGTAGGCTCCTGCGCTTATGACTGTTGATTTTCCCTGGCTAGTGGGACATACAGCACATGGGGGTGGTCCAGGAGAGGCCCGGAGGAGCACGACCTGGGTTTGACGTTCAGGAATGAAAGCATGAGGGCGATGGCGGGAGTGGTCCTTCTGCCGTCTGCTCAGCTGCTCTTAGCGTGAACCCAGTGCCGGGTAGTCCCCAGGCTGCACGAGGCTGTCCCGCCAGCAGAGCTGCAGAACAGACACTGGAGTGTCTTCTGCTACGGCCACTTGGCTCACAGAGGGGGAAAGCTGAGGCAGCCCGAGGGAATTGGTCTTGTGTAGTCTTACCTCGGGTGCCTGTCACATTGTTCCAGGAACCAGCTTCCCTCTACTTATCTGTTGTCATTAGTGACCTGCAGGTGGAACTCTCTTACACTGGGCACTTACTCCCTGTCTGCCTCTTGCAAGCAGGCTCTCTGCAGCTGTCCGGGAGTGGCTGGAACCTGTTCATTTGAAAGTGTTTTGCATCAGCAGAAGGATTGGGGGCCAGTTATTAATGAAGGTGTTCATCTGTGGTGAGGTTTGATTTGAGCAAGTGCTCAGCTCTTTGGAAGTAAATGTTTGTTTCAAACAGGGTGGGCTACAGCCAACCAAGGGGGTGTTAGCCCACACGTCAGAATTCTTCTTTGAAAATAAATGCCGAGACTCTTTTAGGGTAGGGTGAGACAGGGGAAAGGCCTTTAGAAATGCATGTCGCAGGATCTTGAGCGTGTCGGTGTCAGCTAGAACACGGTGGTACCTCGGGCTCCAGATCCTGGCAGGGCGTGGAAGGTGGCTGCTGCTGTTCAGGAACAAAGAAAAATCATTTTCTTTCTTGACGAGAGGCAGAGAGATCAGAGCCGGTGTGTTCAAAGCTTTCTAAACACTGTGACTCTGGTGGGGTTCGAGAGAGCTGTGCACACACGTGGGGCATGCACGGGCAGGAGCGCTGGCTGCACGAGCAAAGCAAATAAAGCTGCAGAGGCCCCGACGGGCAACACCCGGGACCCTTGTTTCTAGTCGTGGGTTATTACCCTTTCTTCTGCTTCTGGATGAGCATGTCTGGTTTTCTCTGCCACTTAAAAGCCGTCTTTTGACTACCTGCAGTTTCTAAGATGAGCATTGACTTGTAAGAAGAAGAATGGGCTCTTTTCAGAAACTTTAAAATATTTCTCTTGCTGCTTAGCACTACCTAGAATAAACTTTTATTTAGGGGAAACTGAAGGTTAGTTCCATTTCTTGTTGGACTCTTGGCCACGTGGCTATTGGGACAAGCTGTTGTTTAGCAGTGTGCATAGGAGGGGTTGTTGAGTTAGTGATGTATTTGAGATGAGAAGCCAAGTCAGTGTGTTTCAGGTAAAGAATGACCATCTTCACCTCGGCCTCTGCAGAACAAGTGCTGTGTCTGTTGACACAGAAAACACAAGAGGAAAGTGGCAGTTCCTCTTATTTAGGTACTGCCTTCTCTCAGGAAACCACCCACACCTCCAGTTGGTTCGATTCAACCTTATAATACACGGTGAAGTGTGGAAAGAAGCAGAATCTTATTCCTGCTTCCCAAGGGGGCTTCTCCCGCCTGTAAGAGCTTCAGGACGGGACGTGAGGCTCTTCCAGGCCTGGGGAGGCAAGCAGAGGGTCTCATCAGCACATAGTTTGGTGGCTCCCTTTGCCCTGGGCTGGTTCACTAAATAGCGGGTCACTCCTCACTTCCACCCCTCCTCCCCCCAACACAGTGGGTCAGCAGCTCCCTTCCTCCATCCCCTGCCATCTCCACGAGCAGGTCCTCTTTAAAGCAGAGCTCGGGCTCAGCCCTGTTTGTCACCCGGCGGGAAGTCGCCTGGAGCCCCGGGCCTGAGTCCTGTGGCTGGGAGGGTTTTCCCACACTGAACTCGGGGCATCCACTCTCACCTCACGTGAGGGAGAACTGAGGCCGAGTGGGGCAGCCCGGGCCCGGCGCGTGTGGACCCAGGGCCGAGGTGCTGCTCGTCTTGTTGCCCTGCCCTGCTTCTCTGCTCGCCCTGTTCCAGCCTCTGGCCCTTTGCCTCCCGCCCCCAGCAGCAGTTCTCCGCAGTGATGACAAGTAAGTGTGGTACAGACCCAAGGCAGGGAGTGGGTGAAGGAGTGCTTGCGGGGCCCCTCCCTTCTTGAAGCTTCTCCCAGCAAACGTAGGCTGGTAGGTGATGGAGGTTTTTGATAAGTGGGAGGTATAGACGGCATCATTACTGCTGTCAGGTTTCTTTGTGGGCAAAATGGAATGGCTGTAAAATCCTACCTGCCACGTGCCGTCCGCATGGCAGGACTTCGGTCCCTAAACGCCAACCTTGGCTCTGCTCTCAGACCTCTCCGCTGTGCCTCGGAAGCTCTTCAGAGCACGCTCGTCCTTGGCTGCCAGCTCCTCCCTCGCTGAGTCCAGATCTCCCCCGGAGCCCAGGGCTCCCCCGTGTGATCTGACCAGCCTTCACAGGTCAGCTACCACCTGTGTGCTGTGCCCCCGAGCCGACTCAGCCGACTGCCTAGTGAGCCCCTCCACTAAGGCAGCTCAGCTGTAACAGGGAACCCGCCACAGATGAGGGCTTCTGTTTGTAATCCCTCAGCCTGGGCTCACCACTCACTCCACGGGAAACATCCCTGACCCTTTCATCTGTAAGAGTCCCTTGCAAGCCTTCCAGTTTACTTCCTTTTCCACGTCCTGTGCTTCCTCCCTGCCTGGTTGACACTAATTCATCCTGAAACCCTCAGATGTCATCCCTCAGAGGCTCATCCTGGATGAGGATCCCTCCCCCATGACGTAGGCGCTCTTCCCCTGCGTTCCCACATCCCTTGAGCCTCTCTCTCTCTGACACTTAGTAGGGCACATCTAAGCTTCTGTTCACCCACTAAACTGTAAGATCCTTGAAAGCAACTGCAGTCTTCCTCATTTCTCTGCCCGCGGTGTCTCAGACGGTGCCTGGAGTCTAGAGGACGGGCAGCTTATCACGCTTGTGTAACAAGTGCCTGCAACACTTAGGAAGTGCACTCTGAAAAGCTATGTCTCCTAGAAAACGTTTCTAGATGCAGCTTTGGATTTGCTAACCGTTCCTCTTTCTTTCTTTATTAGATTAACGTGACGACGTCAGGTGGATCGACAGCCCCCCCACTGCCCCATTTGTCAGGGGCTTGAGAGTGGGGAGACATGGAGGAGCGTAAGAACGAGGCGACGAATCGGGCTCACATCCTCTTTGACCGGTTCGTGCAGGCCACCACTTGCAAGGGGACACTCAAGGCCTTCCAAGAGCTCTGCGACCACCTGGAACTGAAGCCTAAGGACCACCGCTCCTTTTACCACAAGCTCAAGTCCAAGCTCAACTACTGGAGAGCCAAGGCCCTCTGGGCAAAGCTGGACAAGCGGGGCAGCCACAAAGACTACAAGAAGGGAAAGGCGTGCACTAACACTAAGGTAGGGGCGGCCGCCCAGGCCCTGGGCACTGACCCAGGGACTCAGCTGGAGAAGGAGAGAGCATTGGGTGGAGGTAGCCTGGTGAGGCCACAGCCTAGGGAGGCCGTCAAGCTCACACTGCGGCAGAACTCTGTGGATCCGCTACCTGTGTTCGTTCATTCAACTGTTCTGTGTGCCCCATTTTTATCTCGTGGATTCACATAGGAACATTCGGGGTTTCAGCTACTGAGAACAACCCTGCAGTCAAACACCATAGGAGTTGTTTGATTTTGCTGAGGCTCTAGTTGGATCTCAGACTGTTAGGAGGATGCAGGCCTCTGAACAAAGAGGTAGCCAGGCCCTGTCAGTGTCCTGTCTGACCGTGGCAGCCTGGCGCTTGGCAAAGTCATTGTTCCAGACTCAGCCTCTGGTAAGGTGTAGAGTATTTGCCAACTTGGGGATTTTTTTCCCCACAGGCTTCAGACCTCCTTTCATCCATTTTCCAGAGGTCTATCTTGATAAGCAAGGGCTTTGTAAACCAAAGTATTTCTTTTGCTTTCTTCACAATCTAGAGAAATAGAGTTTCCATGAAACGGGTAGGCCTGGGCAAAGACCCGAGATGCCCAGTCACCTGTGCAGGGGGAGGCGTGGGGAGAGGAGAAAGGTAATACATTCCTGCTCTCCTCCTTAGTAAGAGCACTTTCTGTGAGAAGTTCGGAAAAGCTAGCAGGGAAATGAAGTTGCAGATGACTTTGTGACTGTTGTTACTGTCCTTTCAAGAGCCTTAACTTGCCCTGTGTTGGTTTGCATTTGGGTAGATATTCATCCACAAAATGCAAGTAATTCAAGTGCACTCTATAGAGTTTTATATATATGCATACATATATATATATATATATACACACACACACATACGTATACATACATATATATATATAATTTTATTTATTTATTTTTGGCTGCATTGGAGGGGCTTCCCTGGTGGTACAGGGGTTAAGAATCTGCCTGCCAATGCAAGGGACATGGGTTTGAGCACTGGTCCGGGAAGATCCTACATGCCGCGGAGCAACTAATCCTGTGCGCCGCAACTACTGAGCCTGCTCTCTAGAGCCTGCGAGCCACAACTGCTGAAGCCCACGCACCTAGAGCCCATGCTCCGCAACAAGAGAAGCCACCGCAATGAGAAGCCCGCGCACCACAATGAAGAGTAGCCCCCGCTCGCTGCAACTAGAGAAAGCCCGTGCACAGCAACGAAGACCCAACACAGCCAAAATTAAAAATATAAATAAATAAATAAATAAATTCATATGGAAAAAGAAAAAAGAATAAAAAGAATCGGAAGCCAGAAACAGTGCATGTCTTTCTTCTGAACGTGCATGCCAACTAGTTAAGATAAGTGTGTGGTCTCACCCTGAGTACTTCTCTAGAATATGGATCTTCAAGATCATTTCCCTGGATTTTCAGTCTAAAGTTGGTGATTTTAGAACTCTTTTCTGCACATAAAACTTTGGCTCTTGAAAATTACCACCTTGGAGTCTCTCAAGTGGTAGGTCCATTCCAGGACCCTAAGATTGCTTGGCTTTGTATTTAATGATCTGTGCCTCTGTGGACAGAGATCTGCTTGACTTAGAAACCTTCGAGAAGGTTTTTTCCTGTTGTTGAGAGATGAGATGTGATCTTCATATTGTGTGTTGATGTGAGGACCCAGATAAATGTGATCTGCAGGTGCCACGTCTGAGTTTCTGTCCAGCACTTACAGTTAAGTCTCCTCCATCCAGAGCGCCCACAGCTTTTCTCTGAAGCCATTGCAGGCACTCCTCTCTGACCCGGATGGGTTTGAAGGTTTCTTGGTCATGGGGAGAGTAGCCCTACTGGGGGGCTTTAGGGAATGGTGGTTATGCGCTCAAGAGGTGCTGCCTTCGCCCTGAAAGCAGCTGTGTTTTTCAGTGTCTCATCATTGGAGCTGGCCCTTGCGGTCTCCGCACAGCCATCGATTTATCCTTATTGGGAGCTAAGGTGGTCGTGATTGAGAAACGAGATGCCTTCTCCCGCAACAATGTCTTGCATCTCTGGCCATTCACCATACACGACCTGCGAGGCCTGGGTGCCAAGAAGTTCTACGGCAAGTTCTGTGCTGGAGCCATCGACCACATCAGTAAGTGAAATCAGTTCTTCTGTAGGATCCCACCCCTACCCTCTACTCATTTTTCAGGAGAAAGAGTCAGGCAGATTACCAGAGGAATTCGTACTCAGAAGCCCAGTGTGTCCTGACATCCTTAGTATCTATTGTGTAGAAAACACACTCAGCTTGGAGTCAAAATACCTGCCCTCCAGTGGTTCTGTAACCTGAGATTCTTAACTACCAGGGTGTCTCCTATGAAATGAGTTTAGCTTAAGGAATTCTAACATCCTGAGCGCTTACTGAGCACCGGCAGTGGGTGGGATAGGATTGGGGCCAGGCTAGGAAACAGACTGCTAGTTTGGGCTTTGACCCTCTGGTGGCTCTTAGTCCGATGGGAGAAGCACGAGGTATGCAGCTTGCTGTGGTGTGCTAGGTGGGTACTCTCCTAATGTGAGAACAAAGACTCTGGGGATGGTCCTGGGGAGCCACAGTGATGAAAGAAGCAGACTCCTAGTCTGGCTGTGAGTGGCAAGTAGATAGTGGGATCCCTTTGGCCGAGTGATTCTCGTGAGGTCTGCAGTGTGGAGGGCTCCTGCTCTCCTCCTGTCCCCTCCAAGCTCAGCCTGGGCCTGTGATCAAGGCAGAAGTTAATGCAGACGGTGCTTTTGTTTTCATGCCGCTCTGAAAAGCGGTTCAGAACAGACTGTTGTCTACATTATGAAGTTGAAGTCTTGTCTGTTGATCATCATTAATGATTGCAGGACAGCCTTATCAAGGAACTGTTGTTCTGAGCTCCTCAGATGTGTCCTGTAAACATTCAGCTACTCACCCCTTTGCTCTTTGAAGCAGTTGTGCCAGTTTATCAGACACTGGCCAGCAGATGCCACATTCCACCGGCAGCAGAAGCCCTCTGTGCATCTGTCGGGCTGCAATGGGTAACAGCCATCTGCAGGAATGAGATGTGCGCTAGCAGGGGATTGAACAAGTCTTTGGGAGTGTGACGTGGAACGGTGCGAAGTGGGGGAGATAGCCGAGACGGCTGCGTGGAGGACTAGCACATATTCCTAGCTCATTGGTCACAGCCTGTAGGCAGTCGGTGTTAACAGTAGACCGAGGTCAGTATATCAGCGGACTTGTCTGCCTTGTGTGTGGCAGGATTTGTCTTGGAGCTGAGAGGGTCCCACATCAGGGCCCAGACTTTCTCTCAGTGTACCTGGGGCCATCCGTGTCTGACACCTGGGAACTATTCATTGGACACTGAACAAATAAATAAGTCTCACTATGATAATGAGCAAGATTTCCAATTATTTTGAGCCTTAGTTTCTGCAGCCGTAGACCAGTGGTGGGAGGGGGAATGGTAAGAGACTAAGGTTGGTTTGAGGGATCCCCTCTCAGCGTGTAAGAGTGTGAAGATCAGTGAGGGAACAGGCTGAGAGAGAGATGCCGTGGGCAATTCAGGAAGTGAGGCAGCCCTTTGTATCCAATTGGAAGCACCCCTGGGGGTGCCTGTCTTCTGCCTCCTGTGGTGAGTCCTGTCAGGATCGTAGGTGCTGCTCGGTCACTGTGGCTCTGTGTCAGGGAGGATGGAAGGGAGAGTCTCCTTCTGTCTCAGAGCTTTTGAGAGGTAGGCTTGTGTGTCTCTCTAGAACACCTCTTGCACTGAATTGTATTTGCCCTTGAGAAAGAAAAGAAGACGCTATGGAGCATGGCTCGGAAGAGCCGCCTGCTGTAGGTGGCTTTGAGCATCTGGATAAACTCTGCATTGGTGGACGGGGGGACCGGAGCAGTGATGCTGACTTGTCCTCTCTACCCTGTGGGCCCTCACTCCTGTAATCTTCCTGTTCACCCAGGTATCCGTCAGCTTCAACTAATACTTTTGAAAGTAGCATTGATCCTAGGCATTGAAATCCATGTCAATGTGGAATTCCAAGGACTTGTGGAGCCTCCTGAGGACCAAGAAAATGAACGTGAGTGAACAAATGAAGGAGGGATAAAAGGGCCTTGAAGAGGTGAGGAAAGATGAGATCCAGGGAGAAGAGAGGAATCTGAGGGTTGTTTTCAGAGCTAGTTAAAGGGGTGTCTCCATTTGCACAGCCTGTGTCTTTGGAGGAACTTTTGACTTATGAGGAGGCCTCTGACATAGTATTAGACATTACAAGGCCTTGGATTTGTTATAGGAAGTCGTGTGGTGGGGACGTTCCTTTGTGACCCTTCCTCGAGGCTTCTTTCTCTCTTTGGTTTGTACCCCATGCTTTTATGCCTGGTGTGTTTTTGGCGTGGGGTTTTGTGCAGTCTGCACACCTGGGTACCTAGAGATGTCTTAGATATATGAATGGGTCTGGGTGATAACCTTCATTTTGACTTCCATCCGCAGGGATAGGTTGGCGGGCCCTGGTGCACCCCAAAACCCATCCTGTATCAGAATATGAGTTTGAAGTGATCATTGGAGGGGATGGCCGCAGGAACACCTTGGAAGGTACGGGTAGTGCTCCTGTCTCCTTCACCTGCTTCATGTGGAGGAACCCTGCCAAGAGCTTGTGTCTTCAGAGGCCCCGCTCCTGAGAATCCTCACGCGTGCGCTGCCTAGGCTGGGTGAACGGCAGGCCCCACCTTCGCCCCGCCAGCTGGTACTGGGCCACTTCTCCAGGGCACAGGGAGACAAGCCACCCGTGAGCAGGGAACATTGCAGGATTAAACCTAAGTTATGAAAGCAGACGGCGTCCCTTTTTATGAAATGGAACCCCTTGTACTGAGTACTGTTCTGGTCCGTCAGATTTCCAGCGGTGTGTTAGTTGTGGGTGACTGACGTCTTTCCTGGATTGTTACAGTCTTTGGGAGGTAAACACCTTATTTCCAGATAGAGGAGAGCTGCCCTAAAACCTTCCCATTGATTCCCATCCCCATATTCCCTCATGTCTTCCTCAGCGCCCCGCCTGTGTGACGTGATCTTCCTTCTTTAGCCAGCTTTTGCCACCTCTGAAAATTTCTTTCCTTCCAGGATTTCGTCGGAAAGAATTTCGTGGCAAACTGGCCATTGCCATTACAGCAAATTTTATTAACCGAAATACAACCGCAGAAGCCAAAGTGGAAGAGATCAGTGGTGTGGCTTTTATATTCAACCAAAAATTTTTCCAGGAACTGAGGGAAGCCACAGGTTGGTGTCAATGCCTCCACAGCCAAAAGGATAGAAATTTAAATACCGCTTGTGATCTTTCTCTTGGAGGGTTTGGTCGGGGTGGGGGGGGTCATCAGTGAAACTGCTGTGTTGTTTGCCCCTCTGCTCCTTCTTCACTCCTGTGCTTCATTCTGAGCGTTATGCTTTCTGTGTCTCTGTCTCCTACTCGGGTGTCCTTTGTCCTCATTGCAGGGATGGGCTGCTCCTCCAGCCCTTCCCCCTGCCTGGCTCTGCATGGTGGTGCCTGATGCCGTCGGCTGTTGGAGGGGAGCTCTGGTTTGTTGAGAACCTGACTCTAGGTGTTGAGTGTGTCTTCTTTTTCCTGAGTTTGTTTGGCTTTGAAGTAAACCACGTGCTAGATAGAAATGAGGTTGTTGTATGATAGCTTGTGAATAGATGGATTCACTTAGACATTTTGCTGTAATAAAAATGTGTGGCAAATTCCACTTACCTATTTTCCGGAAGAACATGGTTTCTTCCCACTGCATCTGTTTTTCAGGTTAATCGAATTAAAGAGCCAGTAGTGCACTCTGTACTTCCAGGCATCCAGTTGTCTGTCCTGCCCGTGAGAGTCCAGGAGATTCCCCCGTTGCCTTGACGAGCATCAAAGAGGTTTAACCTGAGAACTGACTCAAACCCTCTTACTAGAGGTTAACCTCTCCTTTCTTCCCATCCTTGTGTTTCTGCTTCTGATTGATTGCTGTTGCCAGGATAACAGGGTGTCAGGTGAATGCAGAGCAGTGTGAGGATAACCAGAGCTCCCCCCCTTTTCATGAACAAATGTGCAGGAGGTGAGGATCAGGCTCAGGTGCCTTTTTCATTTTCTCGTTCCCTGTCTGGAGTTCCACAACCCTGGCCTCTGTGGGCCAGGACAGTCTCTCTGGCTGCCTAACCCACCTTCACCTCAGCAGACCCTTATGTGCACGTTGTTCTCTGTTGCAGGGATCGATTTGGAGAACATCGTCTACTACAAAGATGACACACACTATTTTGTTATGACAGCCAAAAAGCAGAGTTTACTGGACAAAGGGGTGATACTGCACGTGAGTCACGGATTTCTTTTAAACCGCTTTTTATGTTGTACTGGATCATGTGATTACCAAGAGAAAGAATTTTATTGTCTGATGAGTTTTTTCCTGCAAGGGGATGAAAATGAGTGCCTCACTCATCTCCTGGGACCATGTACTTTGTACTCCTCTGATGTTTTTTAGTTTAACTTAAAAAAAAATCTTTTATTATGGAAAATTTCAAGCACGAACGAAAGTGGAGAGACTTGTGTAATGAACCCCGATGTGCCTGTTATCCAGCATTAGCAGTTGTCAGCACGTGGCCAGCACTGTCCCAGGAGTACCCCTGCCCACTCCCCACTCCCACTTTGGGCTGTGCAAAGCAAATCTCACATAGCATTTCATGCATAAATATTCATTTTAATTTCAGGTGATTCTGTTTGTGGTTATGATGAGTTCCATATATGACCGATTATTGGTTGGTTAGTAGGTCATCTTTTGGAAGGGGGTTATAGAGGGAAGGGAGTTAGACCAAGAAGCAAAAACTGGTGTTTATGGGAGCCTGAGAATGGTTCTGGCTTTACTGCAGGTATGGTTACAGTGCCTGGATCAGGCTATATTTGGACCTCTTTATGGCCTGACAATGAGGGCTCTTGTTCACCCAGAGCCAGGGCCAGCTAAGCCTTTTTTCCAGATGACTAATTGTATGAGATGCCCTGGGATGATGACAGAACGTGGACGCAGAGAACCACAGGTGGATGGCTCCTTAAGGAGAGTTTCTTAAGTCTTAACTTGGTCTTGTTGGTCTGGATTTGAGAATTAACTGTCCCTGTGTGATGAGTGGAGAGAAGAGGCACCAAATGCGGTGATTTAGGCCCGCGCGGTTCCCAGCGCAGACTGGCGGCTGAATTTCAGGATGTCCTTTGTCTCTGCAGGATGATGATGGGTCGGGTGACTGCAGTCTGAGTTATGGTGCTGCCTTGTCTGCGGGCGGTGCTGGGGAGCTGGGAGCTCGTGGACCTCGTGTCTGTGTCTCAGCCCCGTGGCCCCTTATGCGTGTGAGGAGAACAGGACAGAGCAGTGGGCACAGCCCATTCTGCCAAAAGCATGAGCAAGATATATTTAGTTGGATGCTCTATCAGTAAGAAATAGCCAGTGAACACATTGGTATGCCTTGGGACCAAGCTAAGACTTAGAGCCCATGGTGGCCACTTACTAAGTGTTGAACAAACAGTTTCCGGGACCAACCTGAGTATTTGTGTTTGGCTCTTATATCTTGTAGTGCCAGCGGAAAGTACCATCAGGGGCACTTGGAAAGCTTAGGTCCCACTTGAGAAGAAAGACTTGGCTCAGTGTGCCAGAGCCTCCAAAACAGAAAGGGAGTTTCTCGATCCTTTCTGTGGAAAGCCCTTTTCCCTCATCATTGTTTTTCTTTGCTGGTGGATTACTATGGGGACTTTCAGAATCTTGTGTATTGTTTTGAAGACTTCTGTTCCACTTTTCAGTGTATTTCTTCCCGGCCCCCAGGACTCCTATTGCCCCCACCTCCTCATCCCTCTGGCACTGAAGCTTTCAGGTTCTTCCTTTGGGTTCGATGAGCTATGCAAGGTTGAGTGTCCCGTGTAGGTCCAGCTGCTGCCCAGAAGATGGTGATTGCTGATAGCAGCCTGAACTATGAATGCTTTTCAGTTTGCAGAGCGTCATCACATTAAATCATTGTATTTGGTATTCAAAGCAACTCCGTGAGGTGGAGTGGACTAGATTGAAGAAGCAGTGACTTGTTCCAAGTAAATGGAAAAGCGGGTGCTGTTTCTAGGCGGCAAAACCTGTGTTCCTTTAGAAACAGCCTCCCCCCTTTTCTTTTGAATTTGCATAGAAGACTGCTTTGGGAACAGGGAGGGGAAGGCTGCGGAACTAGGTTCCGTCTGGCACGCGCAGCATGGCTGTGGCCGGCGGGCTCTGGCGCCCCTGCCTGGGCGTTTCCATCGAGCCTCTTCTCCCTCTGGAGATAGGACTACGCCGACACGGAGCTCCTGCTGTCCCGGGAGAATGTGGACCAGGAGGCCCTGCTGAGCTATGCCCGGGAGGCGGCCGACTTCTCCACCCAGCAGCAGCTGCCCTCCCTGGACTTCGCCATCAACCACTACGGGCAGCCCGACGTGGCCATGTTCGACTTCACGTGCATGTACGCCTCCGAGAACGCGGCCCTGGTGCGGGAGCACGGTGGCCACCAGCTGCTAGTGGCCCTGGTGGGGGACAGCCTTCTGGAGGTGAGTGCTGAGCAGCGGGAGGTGGCAGTTCGGGTTGGAGGCCTGGCGAGGGGACATCGCACTGAGGGGCAGCTCTGGGGTCCCAGCTAGGGAGCGAGTGTCTGCACTGCCACGCGGTCTAGTGTACAGGGGAGGGCCCCAGGCCACGGGGAGCCCAGGCTTGCCACTGTGGGTGGCAGTTCCGAAGGCTTTGTGACTTGCCCGCCTGTAGGTTGTGAAGTAGGGAAGGGAAGGGCAGGGTACAGCTGCTCTTCAACAGCAAACTCTTTCTCTCCTCCTTAGTTTAGTTTCCCTCTTTTAAAAGGTAATTCAGGTTAATTCTTTGTTTTCTGTTTCTGTAGCCTTTTTGGCCAATGGGAACAGGAATAGCCCGGGGCTTTCTAGCTGCTATGGACTCGGCCTGGATGGTGCGCAGTTGGTCTCTGGGAAGGAGCCCCTTGGAAGTCCTGGCAGAGAGGTAACCGGAGGGGCGTCCTTCTGCGGTGACACAGGAGGGTCAGTGGTTTGCTCCTCAGGCAGAGTTCAGGTTTCTCTTTCCTTCTTCATTAATGATGTTTTTATATTTAGGAGAGGGAAAGCAAGATAGGTATTCATAAAATCATAGAAACCTAGGGCTTCCCTGGTGGCGCAGTGGTTGAGAGTCCGCCTGCCGGTGCAGGGGACACAGGTTCGTGCCCCGGTCCGAACACGGGTTCGTGCCCTAGCCGTGGAGCGGCTAGGCCCATGAGCCATGGCCGCTGAGCCTGCGCGTCTGGAGCCTGTGCTCCACAACAGTGAGAGGCCCATGTACCACAAAAAAAAAAAAAAGAAAAAATCATAGAAACTTAAAGATTATCTAATCTAAGTGATGTTCTCTTATCCCTTTCAAATCAAATTTGTTACTGATGAATGGTATCTGAATCTTTGTGTAACATTGAAGGATGCTCTCTGATTCCTTTGTGACAGCTACATGAACAAATATTCGATTGGCCAAAAGGTTCATTCATTTTTTTTCCCTAAGATGGCTCTAGTAGCACTTAGTTATCTTTAACTTCATTCGAAACAATTTTGTTAGATTGTATGTGACAGCTGTCATATCAGCCTGCATTTAAAAAAAGACTTATTGGGACTTCCCTGGTGGCGCAGTGGTTAAGAATCCGCCTGCCAATGCAGGGGACATGGGTTCTAGCCCTGGTCCGGGAAGATCCCAAACATCACAGAGCAGCTAAGCCCGTGTGCCACAACTACTGAGCCTGCGCTCTAGAGCCCTCGAGCCACAACTACTGAGCCCGCGTGTCACAACCACTGAAGCCCGTGCGCCTAGAGTACGTGCTCCACAACAAGAGAAGCCACCACAATGAGAAGCCCAGGCACTGCAACAGAGAGTAGCCCCCGCTCACCAGAACTAGAGAAAGCCTGTGCGCAGTAACAAAGACCCAGTGCAGTCAAAAATAAATAAAATTAAATTAAAAAAAAAAAAGACATCAAAATTGGTGAATTTTTGTGTAGCCATTTTAATATTGAAGATGGAAGAAAAAAAGTAACATTTTCAGCATATTATGCTTTATCATTTCTAGAAAGGTAAAAACACACAACTGAAGCACAAAAAAAGATTTGTGCAGTGTCTGGAGAAGGTGCTGTGACTGACTGAACACGTCAAAGGTGGTTTGCAAAGTTTTGTGCTGGAGATTTCTCGCTGGACGATGCTCCACGGTTGGGTAGACCAGTTGAAGTTGATAGTGATCAAATCGAGACATTAATTGAGAACAATCAATGTTACACCACGCGGGAGACAGCCGACATACTCAAAATATGCAAATCAAGGGCTGAACATCATTCGCTCCAGCTTGGTTATGTTAATCGTTTTGATGTTTGGGTTCCACATAAGTTAAGCGAAAAAAACCTTCTTGACCATATTTCCGCGTGTGTTTCTCTACTTAAACGTAGCAAAAAATTCCGTTTTTAAAACAAATTGTGACGGGCGATGAGAAGTGGTTACTGTCCAATAATGTGGAACGGAAGAGATCGTGGGGCAAGCAAAAAGAACCACCACCAACCACACCAAAGGCCGGTGCTCATCCAAAGAAGGTGACATTGTGTATATGGTGGGATTGGAAGGAAGTCCTCTACCATGAGCTCCTTCTGGAAAACGAAACGATTAATTCCAACAAGCACTGCTCCCAGTTAGACCAACTGAAAGTGGCACTTGACGAAAAGCGTCTGGAATTAGTCAGCAGAAAACGCGTAATCTTCCATCAGGATAACGCAAGACCACGTGTTTCCTTGATGACCAGGCAAAAACTGTTATACCTTAGCTGGGAAGTTCTGATTCATCTGCTGTATTCACTAGACATTGCACCTTTGGATTTCCATTTATTTCGGTCTTTACAAAATTCTCTAAATGGAAAAAATTTCAGTTCCCTGGAAGACTGTAAAAGGCACCTGGAACAGTTGTTTGCTCAAAAAGATAAAAAGTTTTGGGAAGATGGAATTATGAAGTTGTCTGAAAAATGGCAGAAGGTAGTGGAACAAAAGGGTAAATACATTGTTCAATAAATTTCTTGGTGAAAATGAAAAATGTGTCTTTAGTTTTTACTTAAAAACCGAAGGCACTTTTTGGCCAACCCAGTACATGAAAATAGTGCATTTAATCTTCCTGTCCTTAAACTAGAGAGACTTGTACTAATGAAATCAGTGTGGTAGCAGGGGATGTACTAACATAGGAGAAGAAATTAAAAGTGACTTCGAATCCAAAGGAAAACAACAAAGTGCTTGTGAACATTGACTCTCAACTGTCAGACATTGTGAAGCAGATAATTGCAGATGAGGTAAGGTCTCGGATTCGCTTGCTAATAAAGAACAAGTGCCTTGACCAGAGCTAGAGAAAGAGGATTTGCTGGATGAAATTAGTGGTCGATACCATTTTTAAGTCTGTTACCTAAGGTACTCTGGGTAAATTTGGTGGCAAGTTTTTTTCATCAGTGATTTTCTTAAAAATTAAACATTGGCCTACTTGCTAAAACAGCGCAGCAGTAAAGTAGAGTGAGACTTGGCTCCCTGCCCACAGCAGTGGACTTGCCCTTCTCCTTGGCCCCTAACAGTCTGGTGCCTGTGGGATCATTGAGATGGTGGGGATGGGAAGCCAGGGCTGATGTGGGGTTGGAGGCAACCCGACAAGGAGGAGGATTTGTCCCACCCTGGACTGTCAGAAAATAGAAATATTATCAAAGGAAAGGGAGGAGCTTCTGGTGCTGTCACTGCTCTGAGTGCACTGTTGTTCATTGTTGCAGGGAAAGCATTTATAGGTTGCTGCCTCAGACCACCCCCGAGAATGTGAGCAAGAACTTCAGCCAGTACAGCATAGACCCCGTCACCAGATACCCCAACATGAACGTCAACTTCCTCCGGCCAAGCCAGGTAAGCGCCCCTGGCCCGTCATCCGTGTCCCAGCCACGGTCAGGACCAGTCAGACTCTGTGAATACAGGCGCACACAGCATTCCTTCCCAATCCAAGCATACGTCTTCCTGAGTTGGCTGAGAGAGGCATCTGCCATCAGCAGACTGACCAGCTAGGGCAGCGGGTTGTCTGGTGACTGGAGGGCTCTGTCCCATCTCCTGGTTCCCGTGGACAGTGCAGGAGCTCAGCCCTCGTTCTCTAGTCAGGACGTGCAGCAGGCACCTGCGTCACTGCCACCAGTCACCGTGACCCGGGGCTGCCGCTCACCTTCCCTGAACTTGTTTCCCCACCTGTACCATGGAGGTCACCATCCCTGCTGCTCCCAGGATCGTTGTGCAGGCAGACAGCACTGGTCACTTGAGAGAACGTGCAAAGATAAGACCCTCTGCAAGTAAAAGATACTGCCGGCCAACTCAGAATGTCTAAAGCCAGACACTTTAGACTGTAAAATGCACTGAGAGTGACATTTTACAAAGCATAATAATCCCTGGGAGCTCAACAATGCTGAGAAAGCAGCCCATTCAACGTATTTGCCTGTGTTCTAGAGTAATTTTTTATTCACTTTACATCTAGGCCTCTGTGTTTGTGGGGGAAATCTGCTGTCACTGGGCAGCAGTAATGGCCCAGCAGAGACTGTGCGAGGGCCCTCCGTGGCTGTCTCTGAGCACAGGTTCTTACAGGTCACACGCATTTGTGTGTACGTGATCCACCGTATCCCAGAAAGGATTAAGGTTGGCGTTACACCTTCTGACTACACTTTCCCCAGCCTTCCACTTCAGTCAGTGTGCTCTCAGTCGGGAATTTATTACTTGGTATGTGATTTTCCTTCTTTACAACTTGTAAACTTCCTGCCAGGTGCGCCATCTGTATGATACTGGAGAAACAAAAGATATTCATCTGGAGATGGAGAACCTCGTGAATTCCCGAACTACCCCAAAATTGGCCCGCAATGGTGAGTCCTGGTAATGGCCTTTCCGCCGTCGAGAGCGTTCTGTGTAATTGGCTGAGCTGTTGGTGCGCACAGTACTGGCTCTCATGTACATGGTTCTCACCGGAGGTGGTTTGCCCCCAGGGGACGTTTGGTCGTGTCTGGAGACATTTTTGGGTGTCAGGACTTGGGGGGTTACTACTGCTCTGCCCCCTGTGGTACACAAGTCAGCCCCACAGCGAAGGATCAACTGTCTAAAGCAGCAGTGCTGTCGAGGCTGGGAAACCTGGTCTAAGGTGTCGCGAGGGTATAAAGAGAAATCAGATACGGTGCTGTTGAGAGGACAGGGGTGCGGACTTGGGAGCACACGCACACCAAGGTTTTCAGGGAAGGCTTTACAGAAGAAGCAGTGGCTTCTTAGCTGAGGACCACGATGGCTGCAGGACACGGTGATGGAGGCGAAGCTTGTGCAGTGCAGGCCCCTGAAGAGTTCTTTAAAAGGAGAGTGGCCAGCTGCAGGTGAACTGGGACAGAGAAGGGCACTGGGGCAGAGCAGGTAGTTTAGAAGTGCGCCAATGGTCAGGCTGGCCGGTCCGGTGTTGATGCCGCGGATGAGAAGGGAGGCGGCGTCCAGTCCAGCTGTGCCCGTCCGTGAAGCGTGTGGCTTGACAGCATACATGACGTCTCTGAATTTGGGTTTCCGTGTGTGCAAAGTGGGGGTAACCATGCCCACCTCACGTTGGCTGCGAGGACTCAGGGGCGTGTCGGGGTGTTCGCTGCAGCACCTGGTGTGCAGCGGGGCGTCAGAAGTGGCTGCCGAGAGCATAAGGAGCCAGAAGCACTGGCAGAGTCTGAACAAGGACTCGGGGCTGAGAAGAATTGAGCTCTGTCATGGGCATTTTGAATTTGACATGCTGTTGGGATATCAAGGCAGATGTGACTACCAACAGGCAGCTGGAAGAATTTTCATCTTCCTCCACTGGGGTGTCACCTCCTTGAAAGCAGACAGTGTGTCTTTTATTTATTTTTGGCCGCACCGCACGGTTCGCGGGATCTTAGTTCCCCGACCAGGGATTGAACCTGGACCCTAGGCAGTGAGAGCATGGAGTCCTAACCACTGGACCGCCAGGGAAGTGCCCAGAGAGTGTGTCTTTGTTCACTGTTATTCTAGAACCTGGAATATTGAAGTCGTCCAGTACATATTGGATCAGTGGATACACAGACTTGGGAGACATCTGAATGAAGTGAATTTCTGAAGCCAGGAGACTTGTGATGGTGACACCAGCAGGAGTTCTCTGTGTCATTTCAGGATACATTTTCCCTGAAAGACTGAAGTGAAACGGGATTTTTAGATATGCAGTTTTTGTTTTGTTATGTTCACAAATTTGTTATGTACAAATGGCTTAGTATAAGGTTAAGTGTTTTCAGCTGCTTAAGGTGAGGAACAGACTTTCTCGCACACAAATAGGAGTTCACAGATTCTTCTAAATGATCTAATCTGATCTAAATGTTCCATATCAGAGCTCTTCAGATGTGATCATGAAAAACGGTTTTTTATAAAGGCTCTTCGTGGTTTAGAAGACACATCAGTGACTGGAAGACGTCCCAGTACGTGTGTCTATGTGTTGAGTTTTTCAAGATGTGACCACTTGTCATACTGAGTGCCAAGCCTGGCCTGGTCTGGTGTCCTTGGCCTTGCCTGTGTGGTCCTGCAAAGTTTCTTCACTTGGCAGATTGCTCGGTACCTTGGAAAGTGTGAGAGCAAGTGTTTAACGTGCTGCTAGGTGGAATGGAACGTTTCTTCTCGGGTGCTCCCAATGTTACCTTGAAGGGAAGGCGTTTCCTCCGCCACCTGCCAGACAACTCTCCAGGGAAATCTTAGAGCCATCACGTGTGAGGGTGACAGCTCAGCAGGTGGCACCCTTCCCGTACGTCCCTGTCCTGGAGAGTGGCCAGGACCCTGGGCTTCAGCGTGAGAGGATCCACAGCATCCACTTGTGATCTGTCATGGACGGGGCATGGACGTTGACCTCAGAGTGTGGATAAATTGGTAGTTTCTTGTCTACCATAAATTCCATGGAAATTCCCTGGCAGTCCAGTGGTTAGGACTCTGCAGTTTCATTGCTGTGGGCCTGGATTTGATCCCTGGTTGGGGAACTAAGATCCCACAAGCTGCGCTGCACAGCCAAAAAAAAAAATTAAATTAAATTCCACTCTTATGATACCAGTTAAGTAACTTCTTACTTTTGAAAACCAGTGACGACTATTTTGCCCTTGCCTTCAGTATTTTTTCAACCTGGTTATGTGGATTCCCTATCAAAGCTCCCAGGTGACCACACTTCCAATAATAACATTGTTGTTGTTTTAGAGTCTGTGGCTCGTTCCAGCAAACTGCTGGGCTGGTGCCAGCGGCAGACAGATGGCTACGCTGGGGTGAACGTGACGGACCTCACCATGTCGTGGAAGAGCGGCCTGGCCCTGTGTGCCATCATCCACAGATACCGCCCTGATCTGATGTGAGAACAGGCTCTGCTTCATCTGTATTCCCACAGGACTTGCGAGTGCCCTGCTTCCAAGTGGCCAAACTCTGTACCTTTTCCTAGAACGAGATATATATAAGATACTTCTTCTGGAAGTCAGTCACTAATTTTAATTTATAGTTATATTTAAAGCTGTGTCTGTTAGGCATTATGTAGCTCAATCCAGGAATTATTAGCTGTTTGTAAAGTCTCAGCACTCAAAACGTGGAAAACTGGTTATAACACCCCCAGGCCTGTTAACATCACAGGAAGGAAAACTCTGTTTCTTGGCCCCAGGCTGAGCTCTGCGTTCAGCCAGCTCTCTCTCCAGTGCTGCTGGTCACGAGGAAAGCCTGGCCGGAGTGTGGGCTGAAGGCACGCATGTCACTACCAGCAAAGCACTTCCTCCATTCACCGGGGCTTGTCGGCATTGTCTCTCGTCTCTTGCACTTTTTGCAAGCGTGCTCTGTTACACCCCTAACACTCAGGTGGCCTTACGCACCTGTGCGGTGACATTTCCTCTTTTGGTCATTCTCTACTCACCTAAATGCAGACTAGTATGACAGGATGACCCAGGTCAGCTGTGGTGACCGGTGCACCCAGATTTCCCCGTAGGCATTCGTTACCATGGAAGCCAAACAAGAAGATTTGGAAACGAGCAGAGCATGTGGCATTATTTTGGCTGTATGTCCTTTCATCATTAGGTCCACTTACGGGCCCATTTTTGTGTATTTGTTTTGTTCTAATGATTACTTAAGGAATCCTGAAAGATCTGGCTCTCTTTTATGTTAATAAAAGAAAGGGGCTTCACCTAGTGCTTAGGAGTGGGGGTGCTGACGTGCTTGATAAGCAGAAGTGGCCTCTGTGCCCCTGTCCCTTAGCTCACGCCGAGACTGGTGAAAACTGAGTTGGAGTAGGGCTTATTGACCCCTCTGGGGGGCAGGGGGCAGCCTGAGAACGACTGCGGTGGATGACACAGAAGTGCTCAGGAGAAGGGCCAGGCAAGTCAGTCCTAGTCCAGAGGGAGGGCAGGACAGAAGGGGGAGGGCAGGACTCCCTGAAGGGAGCCTGGTGCCGAGGGGACACACTCCTGTGGGAATGGACTGAAGGCTGCCGGGGGCCCGGGCGTTTCCTCCTGACAGTGCACAGAGCCGTGAGTAGCTAATTTGGCACCGTTTAAGCTGCCGTGACGTCACTTAGGATGAGGCCCCCCCCACAGTTTAGTAGGCTTAACATACAGAGTAAAGGAGTTTAAAAAATGAAAAACGGTTGCGGAGTCAGCAGGTTAACACAAAATAAGGCCTGCCCGGTTAATCTGAAATCAGCTAAAGAAGGATGCTGTCAGTCTTTACTTGATTGAATAGCAAGAAGCCTGAAACCCAGTGTGAAATGTTTGTTAATCTAAATACTTAGGAAATTTAGCAGTGGAGAAATCTTCTGAGGAAAGTTTTGGAATTTCCCTTTTAATTAGAGGGGAATGCTGAGTAAGATTCACCAGAGCTGATTTAGTACATCAACAGCTTGTCAGCTCCAAAGGACACAGGGGGTGATGGTTCCAGGCCTTTAGACACAGCCTGATCCAAATAGGACCTTTATTGTTGTTGAGCCTGAGTTTAATACATGCAGACCACACACGGGGCACAGGAGAAACTTAACAAAAACAGTTCCTTTTCTTGAGCTTACATTTTAGTAAGAACTTTATGTTATTGATAAAATGTTATGTTTTCCAACTTTTCCCCTCTTTTCTCTTATGAGTAGATTGTTAATCCTTTCTTCTCCCTGAGGATGATTTGCATTTCATTAGTAAAAGGAGGGAGACAGAAGTGAGAGAGAGAGGTTTGCTCTCCGATTTCAGTGAGGCCTGCACCCTGGATTTTAGCTGAAGGACCGAGAAATAATGATGACTCTCTGATACCGTGTTTTCTGGTCTGGGGACAAGCAGCCCATCTTGACACGTTTTCCTCGTCCTGTTTCTCAGAGATTTTGATTCTTTGGATGAGCAAAATGTGGAGAAGAATAACCAGCTGGCCTTTGATATTGCTGAGAAGGAGCTGGGCATTTCTCCCATCATGACAGGCAGAGAGATGGCCTCGGTGGGGGAGCCGGACAAGCTATCCATGGTGATGTACCTGACCCAGTTCTACGAGATGTTCAGGGACTCGCTCCCCTCCCGAGGTAAGGGCCCCCCAGGGGTGCTGCCGTGTGGCTCCCCTGCCTCTCCTTCCCCTGTGCCCCTTCTTCCAGCAGACCCGCTTCTCTGCACTGTTGTCAGCCCGTCGTTCTGACCCGGGTCTTGCTCAGCAAACCTGCAGTTGTGGAGGCCATGAGCATTCCCATCTAGAACCTTGTCCTTGACTCCACCACCCTTGTTCCCTTTCTCTCAGAACCAGACTTTTTGAAAAGGTGCTTTTGCTGTGGCCTGGACTTCCTCACTGCCTAATCTTTGTGACACTTTGCAACCCGGCCAAAACTGTTGTCCGTGGTCGTGAAGAATCACCAGATGCATGTTCTTCCCTCCTCTCTCACCTCTCAGGTACCCAGCTGTTCTGCGTTGTTCAGCCCTTGGAATGACGTCCTTTCTCTTGAAATTCTCTCTTCCTCTTGGCTTCTGTGATCCCGGACTATACTTGCTTTGTTCTCTTTCTTCTGTTAACTGTTCCTTCTCTGGCTTCTCTTTCTTCTCCTACCTTTTAGTGTTTCCAAAAATCTTCCCTTGGCCCTCAGGCTGTCAGAAAACAGACTGAATAAGCATCATGATGCTTACAAGTGTTGACCATGGTACCTGACCTGGTTTACATCCCATTGCCTCCACCTAAAGTCACTAAACTTCCCTGTGCCTCAGTTTCTCCATCTGTAAAGTGGGGATAATATGTACATGGCTCGATTGTAATACGCTAAGAAGAGTGTTTGGCGGATGGAAGCACTTAAACAAATGTTAGCAATGTATTATTAGTTTCAATTATTATTTCAACATTACTATTGTTACTAATAAAACATTGGAACCCACAGAGTTTAGATACCATTCTCCAGTGCTTCTGGCCCATGTACTTGTAGACATCTGTGGCTTTCTCTCATTAGAGATGCAGTTCTTACAACAGACACGCACAACTCTGACATCAACAAGCACACCCTGAACCCATGACCCAAGTCCCGTCTCCTCCCCGCCGATGCCCCTCCCTTTCTCTCCCGGCCTGAACTTTTCATCTTGAAGTGAGGCTTCGGCACTCTGTTGTAACCAGCAAGCAGATTGCAGCGTCTGAAAAGCAAAAGTGGAGGTTTTTGTGACTGAAGTGGATTGGGGCAAGCGTTGGTTTTGTTTGTATGGATGGAGAAGAGAAGGCCCAGCGTCCAGGGCTCTGTGTGCATTTTCTCTGTGGAGTTCCTACCGGGTTCAGAGTGCACGAACCCTCAGAGCTTCCTGAGGTTCCGAGAGCCTCCTGCAAGGAGGCACCCTCAGGGCTGTCCTTGGACACTGCTGGTTTCTGCCCACAGACGCCTTGGACCTGAATGCCGAGGAGAGGGCCGTCCTGGTAGCCAGCACTAAATCCCCTATCTCCTTCCTGAGCAAGCTGGGGCAGACCATTTCTCGGAAGCGCTCTCCCAAGGTAAGTGGAAGGGTTTTTCCTCCAGCTGCAGAACTAGTGGTACAGTGCAGTGACTAGAGGAATGCGGTTTCCCTTTGCTCTTGGTGCAGGACAAAAAGGAAAAGGACTTGGATGGTGCTGGGAAGAGGAGAAAGACCAGCCAGTCGGAAGAGGTGAGAAATATCTGGAATTTGCCAGAAAGATTGTACTGAATTGCCCTTCTTGGCTGAAACGCTTAATTCCCAAATCGGTATTGCTAGATCTTCTCAGTTCACTCTTTGTGAGAATTGTTGTGCACAGATGCTTTCTGTGGCCTTTTGCCTTTGTGTAATTTTTTGGAGAGCATCCAGGGAATGCACACATGTGCTCTGGGCCTTCCTGTCTCTTTGGAATCCCATATGTGGCGAAGGGCAGCAGCTTTCCTGGGATGTGACCACACCAGCAAGAGCCCGAGTACCTCTTCATACTGCCCCTGGGCCCGAGGCCATCTTGAGATTTGAACCTTGAGGAGAGCCACTGAGCTCGACCTAAAGCAGGGACCAGCCGCTGTGCCAGGCCCTGGGGTGTGGGCAGGGGCTCCTCTAACCGAGGCTGGCTCTTGATACCCCTGTTCACCAGGAGGACGCACCCCGGGGCTACAGAGGAGGAAGGCCTACGCTGGTGAGCACACTGAGCGACCGGAGGGTGGATGTGGCCCTTGGCAACCAGAACAAGGTGAAGTACATGGCGACCCAGCTGCTGGCCAAGTTTGAGGAGAACGCGCCCGCGCAGTCCACGGGCATGAGGAGACAGGTAGGCCCGGCTCACACCTCGCCCGCCCGGACCTGGGCTGGCCACAGAGGAAAGGGGGGTTAGTGAGTGAGACGGGGAACTTCCCGGTCCTGAGGGCTCAGGGCTCGAGACTGGCGTCTGCGTGGGGCAGGGACGAGGGTTCCTGTCCTCACCAGCCAGGCCCACCTGAGGATCTTTAAAACGGGGTGTCCAGGTCTGTGTACGTAGGTGTGTGTTTACGTACATGCATACGTAAGTAATATAAGAGGTACCTGCTTATTGAAGAAAATACTGGAAAGTGTAATTAAGGCCCCTATAATTCTGTTAATATTTTGCTATGTTTCTTTCTGGTCTTTTTTTAGTGCATTCTTGTTTTCATGGTTGAGGTCATTCTTAACGTACACTTTTCTGTTCTGCTTTCTTCGTGTAACTTTGGGTGTATTTCCATGTTCCAAACTCTTTATAAGCCTCTTCCAAAGTGTGTGCTCCATGCTTTTCTTAACTCTTCCTCTGGTGCTGGATGTTTAGTTGTTTCTCATCTTTGATGAAGGGCAGAGAGGTAGACACTCTTGTGTGTTACACATGGTTTTCCTAGACTGTCCTTGAACTAGGTCACGAGTGTGAGCGCTGTAAAGGTTCTCCGTGGACTGCCCTCACTCCCCAAGTCCTGCTGAGGGCTGGACTGCCATGTCTGTTAGGTCTCGTCTCTCCTCTTGCTTGTCTAAAAGTCACTAAGGCTTCTCACAAGAGGAGGTACAGGCATTGTGAGATCCACAATGAACATTTCTTCTAAAACTCCTTGTGCGGGGAGCACCTCTTCATCTTCGCCACGTGCGCCAGCCCTTGTTCCTGTGGACCAGGGACCAGGCCGACCACATCACTGACTTCTTCCCACATCTAGTGCTTGGTTAGATCCTCACGCTCCAGGCGTTCGTGCCGAGGCCCACAGAGAGCGTGCAGGCTTGATTGTGAACGTGTGAGGCTGCCGGGCGGCCGTAGCAGCCCAGGTTCCATCCTCCTCAGCAAGGCTGGGGTGCTTTCCACTAGAGGAAGTATGTCCCCACTCATTTTGAGTGGAAAGATTCATTTTCCAAGCCAGAATTAGTGGTTTAGGCTCAGAGCATTGAGCTTGGGAAAAGGATAATCAGAATTACAGTTTCTGTTTGTCTTTTCTTTTGCATTTGGCTTCGCCCGAGTTGGGGAGGGAGGATTTTCCTTTGTAAGTGTAACTTCCTAGAACTAATTCTGTGCACGCTCCTTCAGTTCTTATATGAGTGTCTATCCTCCGGGAGAACCATTTTTGTGTCTGCTACCTTAATGCTTTTTTTTTTTTTTTTTTGTCTCCGTGTCCTGTCCCCTATCCAATACTTGGCCTGTGTGTCACAGCCGACACAAGAGCGTGGGCTCAGCCAGCCGTCCTGCTGCCTGCCTGAGCAGGGTCGCCCTGCTCCCGCCCCCCAGTGGAAACAGGTAAAGGAACTGCCCAGGGACCAGAATGGGTGCTGGGCCTTCCCACCTGCTCCTCCTCCGAGCCAGCCGGGTGGGGCCTGCACTGTAGAGCCCTAGGTCACGGGGTAGGGATCTCTGTGCGCATTTGAGTGGCGACTCTGGGGGAAGGTTTAACAGACACTACTGATAGTATTGCATGACTTGTTTAACTCCTTGGGATTTGGGAAACCAGTGAAAAGGGTGGGCTGTTATATTGGTGTTGAAACTTGCTGAAGTTATGTGGTACCTGTGTTCAGGTACTTAGCCTTTGGGGTTTTGCTGTTATAACTTTTGTCCCAAGTTGACCTTTGGCTGAAATGCATCCGTGTGACCCCTGGAGGACAATCCCGAGTTTCTAGAGCTTGGGGCTCGGGGCAGTGGTCTTCTCGTGTTAAACAGGAAAATGTTAACCAAGAAATAGCCTCAAACTGGTTTTTTCCTTGTTTCAGATCATGGACAGAGATGATCATGGGCGTTTTCTCAGTGTTTTGTCCACATTTAAAATACTCTTTTTGGAAATTTTCACTAAAGTTTCTGCAAGATCTCCTGTAAAGCTGCTTCTCCTACATAGTATAGAGTGGGGCGGAAAGAAAGAGGGGCTGGCGCCTGGCGGGGAACAGGAAACCCGCCAGAGCGATGGGAGGCCTCTGCTCTGTTCCCCCCATGTCACAGCCCTGAGTGCGGCCTGGGTTTGCTGTCTCTTGGTTTGGAATCGCTGAGGACTGGGGTTCTGAGCAGTCAGAGGGGCTGACCCTGATTCCCTCCTGTGCTGGGAGGTGCTTGGGAGTGGTGAGTTAGATTTGAGTTGAATTACACTTAGGGCAGAATGTTTCTTTCTGACTTTTCTTTTGATAATATGCACGTTAAGGCAGGGCCCGTGAGGCTGAGTTGGAAGCTTGGGAGCAGCGTCCAAAGTCACCATGAAGCCAAGCTGCCTCTCTCCCCATGCTTGGGGAGGGGAGGTCTTCTGAGGAAAACTCATTAGAAATTCACTTCTATTTTCCTTACTTACCCTTTGCCTAGGGTAGACCTTTGAAGTCTAGGTGGAAGGTATGATTTGAAGGTTAGTCTTGAATTCAGTATTACTAAAGGGGAAGGTGAACTCTGCACTACATTCCCAGGTTCTTACACTAGTCACGGAGGTGGACTGAGACAGGGAAGCACAGTTGGTGGGTGAAGAGGTGACTCTGAGTGGCATGTCCTGGAGTGGCTCTGGGTGGGCATCCCAGGAAGCCCGGGTCAGGGACCCGAGGGGCTGGCTCGACCGCCACTGCTGCCTCCGTCCCGCGGAAGATGGGCTTGGCTCCCGCTGGGTGCTGGGCTGCAGGGGTGCCCAGAGCCCTGCTTCTCCTGTTGCTGCAGCGGCTGGGAGCCTCCAGCCTGTGCGGGTGCTGCCTGACGCACCCAGGTGATTTGTGATCACGGTTGGTGGAGTTGAGTATGTACCGCCAGGCTCTCCAGGCCGAACAGACCCTTAAAGTGAAGCCTGGTCTGGGGAAGGGGTACCGGAGATGCCGGTCAGGAGCAGCAGCCGGGTAGCTGGACCCCGTTAGATTCTATGTGTAGAGCGGAATTGTAATGTGCTGGGCTGTGAGAGGACCCGTGACACACAGCTCTCACGTCCTCCTGAGATGTGTTCACAAACGACTTATTGCCAGTGCTAAGTCAGGGATGGCGTCATGAGCCTTGCTTTGCCCATTTATCCCCTGAAAGACAGAGCACTGGAGGGCCACGCCAGTTGACTCACCAGCCCAGGGGCACAGGAAGTCCAGGGGTGCGCCCTGGGGGCTGACGGCGCGCCTTCCTGTGACTCACTTGCTGTTCCCCTGGAAGCGGGTCCAACTGAGGCAGGCGGGTGTGGCGAGCACAGTGGTGAGGAAGAGTGTGGGGATGCTCGCTTCTCGTCACCTTCCTGTGGCGTCACCCGGCTCTTCCCTCCCCACCTCATCCCCTTCTGATCTCAGAAATGGGTCCTGCAGGCGAAGTCTGCGGTTAAGCAGCCTTGGTTTGGCTGTAGATGGTCAGTGGTGTGGGAACAGACGGAGGAGTGGGTTCTGTGGCCTCTTCCCTCCGGGCTTTGCTGGGAGCTGCCCCACACGGTAGCCCCGGACGTGAGGAACCTGAGGCTTCCTCTGACTCGGGAATCTGGTGGTTCCTTTAGCACTGCAGGGTTCTGTCAATCAGAGACAGGTTCACAGGAAGCGGACACCGTGGGAAAGTGATCCACGGACATTGTGTGGTGTCAGTTAGCGAAAGGTGTTAATTTTATACCCTGTTTCCTGTTCTTTCTTGTATTTCTGTGGTCATCTCCCAGAACCTTCCGCGTGTGAGTGAGGGGACTGAGCAGGGGGAAGCAGTGGCAGGACGTGGGCGTGGGTGGCCCAGGAGGTGCTGGTCTGCTGCTGCAGGTGCCCGGGCGCCCCCGCTGTGGGCAGCAGTCGCCACGCTCCCCCCCGTAACGGGAGTCTGTGTGCCCTTCTCTCTACTTGTAACTGAGCCCCTTTTACCCCCCAGCCTCCCTGATAAGCCAGCAGAGAAGAATATGCCCTGGTCCCTGGCATTTAGAAAGTGCCGCCGTGCAGGTCCTGACCCCGCAGTGGCTGCAGAGATGACTCTGGGATCTGCAAACAGAGCGCCTCTGCCCCGAGGCCACGACAGGCGGGACAGGCCCCTGCCTGAACACGCCAGTTTGTGCTGAGGATGGGTGGGTGGGGAAGGGCCTCTGGGATGCTTTTGGCAAATGCCTTCAGTCCTTCCAGACCCAGCCTCAACGTGGCCACCATTTCACCTGTGTTCTCTCTGTTTGTGTCTACTGGCGTAAAAGCGACAGGAAAAGGAGCATTCTCGGACCTGCCCCAAAAAAGTGATCACACTCTCTCCTCCCCCTACTCCGCCTCCCTGTCGGGCACGTGGCGACCAGCAGGTGACCCCCTCTGCATGCTCCGCTGTCCTGTGTGCCTGCCTGCCTGTGTGGGTGGCCAGGGGAGAGACCAAGTCAGGATCCCCTCATTTCAGTGATAACTTACTGGCAAAGCGACCTTTGCTGGTGGGCCTCAGGATAGCACATCGTCCGTTCAAACCCTGGGTAGTTTAATCTAGTCCCGCATCACAGGACTACAACTGTGCAGCCACAAACTAAAATTTAAACTGTACTTGACACAGATGCGAGGTCCAAAAGCCCTGGAGAGCATTTTTATATAACCCCACTGAAATCAGCCATTTTTGTCTTGCTGCCCAAGGAGATACAGTTAAGGTGAATGTTGGGAAGCTTTTTATGGGGCTCCACTCTGTGAGTTTGGCTCCTTCTGATTTTGAGAGCCCTGCCTCTTGCTTATCCAGCTTTTGCCAACAAACACCTGCCCTTTCCGTCCACCCCACTCACTGTCCAGGCAGACCACTGGAGAAGTGCTTCAAGGCGAGTTAACCCCACGTGCTTTGCGGCCAGCACGCTCGTACGAAGTGCGTTTATAGAACGGCTTTTTTCACTTGTGTTGTATGTCCCTATAAAGTAAAACACTGATTTTGAAGGTAGGATCTATGGAAAGACATTTTCTCAGCTATGGTAGCCTATTTAAAAGGTGATCCCATAATGTGTCTGATATGCAGGGGCCCAGCCTTTGTCCCTGGGTCTGGACGCTGAACCCTTGTAGGGTAGTGACCACCCTGGGCCCTGTCTCTGCCCAAGAACCAACATGGGGCATTTCCTCTGAGTCAGGCAGTGTTCTCAGTGCTTTTCCTGTGTCATCTTGGTCTGTTCTCACAATAACCCTACGAGGCAGGTCCTGTTATCCTCACCTTTTACAGATGAGGAGACCGTGGTGCAGGCTAGGGGGGCCAAGTAGTTGTGCGAAGTCACACAGTGAGCAGAGAGCTAGGGACTGAACCCAAGTGGTGTGACTCTGGAGCCCGAGCCCTGGCCTCGTCCTGCCCGCGGAGACCACGCGCTCACGGGCTCTGGACAGCAGAGTGGCCACGTCGGGAGCTCCAGGTCAGTTCTTGCAGCAGGGCAGGGCCATACGGTGAGTGCTGGGCTATCCAGAGAGTGACTAGGGGCCTAGACGGCCCAACCCCACGTCACTGTGTTAGTGGTTTCCTCAGGGCAGCGGAGGCGGCGTGGGCCTGGGTCACGGTCCCCAGCCTCTTGGGTGCAGCTTCTGTGCTCCCCTCGCCCCTTAGTGCTGTGCGCTCTTGGAGTCTCCCGTGGGCTGTTGTCGCCTCTAATGCCTTGGTGTGGAAGCTTCACCCTCCTAACCTGCCTCTCCTGTTAGCCTTCCACTGAATGCCTCTGATCATGTGCCGCTGTGTGAAAGAAATATGTTTGTTCCACCTGTGTACTAACCGTAGTTCCTTATTTATCCACGTAGCTGACCTCGTTGGAGGCCAGGTGGGAGAACAGCTCTGCAGAGTTGCCCTTGGGTCACAGGATTTGATGTAGACGGGACTGTGGTTACTTGGGGTTGGGGACCAGTAGACAACAGGTTATGTGTTGAAATGAACTCTCACTTTCTGGGGCTGTCACTTAGTAGGTCCAGATAGAGCATTTGGATGGAGCTTAAGTTTCTATTTTGTTGCCAACAGACGTACAGCGATCTTGATGCTGACAGCCGTGGCAAGCAGAGTCCCCACCACGAGAGGGTAAAAGCACGACTGTGGCATGGGATGCTGGCAGCCACACAGATGCGGCACGCTGGGGTGGGGGCGCAGGCGTGGCCCCTCTTCCTTGCTTTTTCCACACTCTGGTCACCCAGCCAAGAGCCGGGACTCTTTTCGCTTACAATGATGACCCTTGCAAATAGCATTCACGGTGGAACATCCATCCACTCAGCGTCAGACCAGATAGGAACCCTGAGAGTTTGTGCCCTGTGAACGGCCTCTTCCCCTCCCTGCGCCCCCTTCCCACTCCCAGATATGCACCTTTGACTTCTGGGGAAGGGTCGAGGTCAGTAAGCAGGAGGCACTTGCTTGGCTACTTCCGGGATCCTGACGTAGAAATACTGAGAAAGCCAAAGCTATTAGAGCATGGGGATTCTTCAGGTGTGAAGAGGACGGGGGCGGGAAGGAAGGCGATGACAAGACAGGGTCCATAATGAAAAGTGGTATCTGTTCGAGACGCTAGTAGGGAGATGCCTGAGCACACCTGGCCATCGTATGATCTGATGAGTTGCAGAGATGCTCATCTCAAAACCTGCTGACTATGAAACTTTTTTGGTTGTTATTGTTACCCTTAAATGGAGGCCTGAGTGGGTGTAGCTCTGCAGCCAGAATGAAGAATCATCTCTAACTGTTCATTTCACATGGGCCCTCTCCTCTTATTTTTGCCTTCCCCTCTGCCTTTGCTCTCTGAGAAATGCCCTCATGGCTGAGCAGTAAGTCTGGTTCCCTCTTGGACCCATTAGGAAAGTAGTGGTAGCACTGTCTTCCTACCAGTTGCCAGGCAGGAAGCAGGCCCGGGGTGGGGGAGGGGGGCCTTTCCATGTCACCTGTGTCACCCACAGCTTCACTGCCTGTGCCCAGCCTTTCTTCCTTCTTCCCAGGCTGGTTCCTGTCAAGAAGAAAGCTAGGCACTTTGACTGCACAGGGCAATGCCCTCCGTTTTGGGGAATGCCTATTTGAGGAGGCGCTGATGGTCTTGAATGAAACAGGGTCTCAGTGGGGAGCGGAGGGAAGTCAGTGGAGGAAAGAGAGATTGAATGGGGAAGCTGGTAGAAGTTGGGGCTGCAGGGCACCGAGGACAGGTGGGATTTGGAGCTCAGGAAGCAGCAGGGTTGGCGGGAGTTTTCCTTCATTTCCCCGGTGGGCTGGTCTCCAGGGTCTTTGGTGCAGGGTTCCAATCCAGGTACTCTTGGGGGGGTCACTGTTTTTGTTCCTTCCCGGACTCTCCCTCTTCCGCCCGCCAGTCCAGCTGTGCGCTTGCCTGCTCGCTGCCGTCCAGGGATTTTCTCTCTGAGCGTCTGGAGCAGAGGCTGGTGACACCCCCCATCACCCGTGACACGCCTGAAGCTTTGAAGTTAGTGCGAGCTGAAGGCCGAAGGGTGCTTCTTCCCTGCGGCCCGCAGGTATCTCAGCCCGAACCTGCAGGCAACGAAGCGGTTACTGCTCGCCAAGCTCGCAGCCCCTCCTGGCTTGGGGACCGGACAGTGCGTGGCTGCTGGGCCCACTTTTGCTCCACGTGCTGCATGCAGTCTGCAGAGGGTTGGGGCCAGCTCCGGGGCAAGCTCTGTGTCTGAGCCCCACCAGGAGGAGGAGGGGCCCCTTTCCTGGCTTTTATGGAGAAAGCGAGCTTTGCTCCAGAGCTGTCGCCTCCTGTCTGCTCCTCTTAAGGCCAGCAGAGTGACGAGCCGGTGGAATCTCCTTGTGCTCAAGAGGAATTCCAGCCCAGGCCATGAGGGGCTCTGCAGGGCACACAGGACGTGTGAATAGGACGCTGCCTGCTGGCTGGCAGCACTGTGCACTTGAGAGCAGGGGTGCAGACAAGGCTTCCTGGGGGGCCGTGTTCCAGCGCGGGTGTGGCTGTGAGTGTGAGGCACAGTGGGAGCCTGGAATGAGCCACTGTTGCTTCTGGAACTAAGAGCGTTTCTTTACTGCATTTGTCATCCAGATAAAGGGTCTGAAACTGCCAAGTTCCTTGTGTTCAGGTCAGCGTGTAACTTCTAACTTAACGTTTCCTTTGATTTTTTTCTCCGTCTTGTATTTTATAGCCAGAGCCAGAGCCTTCTCGTCGATTTTTTGTCGACCAGTGGGAGCTTTCTCTAAGCCTCCGCTCCGCCAGCCGCCCTGCCTCTCCCTCCTCTGACTTCCTCCGACAGGTAGCGGGGCCCAGGGCTTGGCCAGGCTCGTCCTCTTCAGCCTGCACTTTCTTCACCCACACGAACGGCAGCCTGTCTCCTTAGGAATCCAGTTGTGTGTGTCCGTCATGCATGTGAGGTCGGTAGGCGTCCACCTGAGTTAAGGAGGCTGCTAGCTTCACTGCAGCAAATTCTGTCCCAGTCAACCCATTTTCATTATAGTCCAACTGTATCAAATAATGAGAAAGCACTTTGTAGCCATTAGCTTTCTTTAACTCCAGACCTCTTCCTATAATGTGTTATAAAATATGAACCATTGTGTAATTAAATCTCTTAAAGAGAGTGGTGGATACACAGTATTCTGGGTGCCTCTTGAATTGTAATCTCTTAAGGAAGAACTCTGCTATTTCCTATGATGGAACTGACCCAGCTGTGGACGAGTTTACAGAGAGATTGCAGGGGCTTTTGTCCTTTCTGTTTGTTTCCTGTTCTTGAGCTGGTAGCAGACTGTACAGAATGATATGCATGTGTGGTGGCCACAGTATAAGTCCAGAGAGTGCTACATTTCGACTGTTTCTTAAGAGTGGGGAGAGGAAAACCATCTGCTTTTCATGCCAGAAACAAATAGGACTCGAGTCTCCACCCCTCTTAGGGGTGTGCTCATCAGTACTGTCGCATCGCTGAGAACTGAAGTTGACAGATGCCTTTGCACCAGGCAGCCCTGGGCTATACTTGCTGACAGTGCTGGTTCTGATGGGAGAGCAGGGTCCTGGCTGAACAGGGAGGACCCTGGGCTTGCCCAGTGTCCCAGCCTCAGACTTGGCATGTGGTCCACGCTCCCACTCATCTGCTGCAGTTTCCTACTGCCTGGCGTCAGCTGTTCGATGCTCAGCTTGGCTGCGCCTGGGTTCCTGTCTGTTCCAGGCTTAAGCTTCCCTAATGTTTCTAATCCAAAGAAGGCTTAGGTCTAAGAGCCACTTGTGTTTCTCGACCACAGATGGGTATAAGCTGTGGAGTTAATGAGCAGATGGCACTATCCTTTGGAAATCGCCTTATTTTAAATTGAAAATATAATTGACTCCTCAGTTCCAGCTGAACCTTGGAGAATTGTTTGCTCATTTGTGCTGCTGTCGTTCTTGTATTTACACAGGGTCAGTTTCCCCCTAGAGCATTCCTCTGGTTTGTCCCTGCCGCGCCCAGGACGTGCCATTGCTCAGGCTGGTGATTCTCTTACACACGGTTTCGTGTGTTCAGACCGTTTCCTGATGGGGTTGTTGGCATCCCCAGCACAACTGCTCCCGGCATGTTTTGGATTTGGAATTAGAGTGAGGGCTCCTCAGACCCGGCGGGCACACAGCTGCTGAGAGGCGTGTCATACACACTGGGTGTCTGGGCCGTCCGCACAGGACGAGCTCAAAGCTGGGCTCCCACAGGAAGGTTTGCCATTGAAATTTATAGTTTTCTCCTGCTGCTTTTTCAACATTGCTAGAAAGAGGATTGAGGTGGTTGGATTTTTTTTCTTTTATCTTGTTTCAACGTATAAAGATACAACCCCTCCTGGACTAGAAACACATTCTGGCTTCCACAGCAGCCGTGTCAGCAGTGCCCCAGCTGGTCCGGAAGGCTTGGTCTCAGGGCTCAGGGGAACACAGAAGTCTCCATGGGGAGAACGGGCAGAGAAGGGTTCTTCCTGGTAAAGCCCGGGGGCCTCTGGTTCACAGGACAGGGGCTCTGAGCGAAGGAGGTCATAGTGAAGATGGATGTCATCCCCGGTGACATTGGGCTGTTGGCATCCGTTACCCAGATGGAGAGTCGGCCTTACTTTCTTTCTAAATGAGGAAATAACTCCCCAGGCCCTCTCTCCCAGGCCCTGGGATGTGCCTTCAGTCTGGTGCCCGCTGCCTTAAGGGAGGTGTTCTCTTAGGTTCTTTGAGGTTCTCTGTGTGTAATCTGAGCCGCTGGGTGGTAGGCCCTTCTCACTCTGTTTGCATCCATCTTGTCGTCCCGCCTCCACATCCCCCGCACTTCGTCCAGAGGGACATGAGAGACCAGGTTCTCCTTACTGAATTTCACTGTCTCTGTGGCCATCGCTCCCGCCTGTGCTGACACCGGTGTGTGGACACTGACACCTAGCCCCCTGCTCGTGGGCACTGTGTTGGCATGTTTGTTGCTGCACCTTGTATTCATTTTATACCTTTCGAAGAATTTTTTCCCCTGTCTTCTTAATTTATTTATTTTTTTCCTTCTCATTTCCCTTCTTTCTGGTCGTTTAACAATCTCCAACCAATAGAAGTATATAAAGATGTACACGGGAGGAGTGAGCTCATTGGCTGAGCAGATAGCCAATCAGCTTCAAAGGAAAGAACAGCCTAAAACCCTTCTAGACAAGAAGGAACTGGTAAGATACACTAAGGGCACTGTCTGTCTAGGTAAGACAGCTCTGGTAAACAAGCCTGCTTTGTTCTAAGTAGCTCAGTGGCATATGTGGCTGCTGCGTGCCATGTGGTAGTTATTTTTTGAGGTTGTCTGAATTTTGTAACTGAACTTCTAGGACTGAAACCGTTGTTTAGAATGTTGTGTGAACAGCATACTCAGTATCTCTAAAGTGATTGCTCTAGAGTCCAGGGCCTGTGTCCATGGAGAACCACGGGAACACCTTCAGATCAGAATCCGTTAAGAGGATTTGGTTTGCTTGTTATGAAATCGTGTAGAACAGACGCAGTGCCAAGTGCTGCGTGGGCACCGGAGGCACCGGCCTGCGGTGGTGCGCGGCTCCCGTCCCCAGGCAGAACCGCGTAGGGAGGGTTGTGCGCCCTGGGGAGGGGCCGGGAGGCCTCGCCTGATGCGTGTCCCCCCACCCCCAGGGCTCCATGAAGAAGGAGTTCCCACAGAACTTGGGAGGCAGCGACACTTGTTACTTCTGCCGGAAGCGGGTCTACGTGATGGAGCGGCTGAGCGCCGAGGGCAAGTTCTTCCACCGGAGCTGCTTCAAGTGCGAGTACTGCGCCACCACCCTGCGCCTCTCGGCCTACGCGTACGCCCTCGAGGACGGTGAGTCCCCGCGCTGGAGGCCGCACCCAGACTCAGGGCCCCCGCTGCGTTCTTACACTGACGCTCTCTTTTCTGCCTCTCCTGAGCCTTCCCATCCACCCCCCTGTAGTCTGTGTTTTCTCCCAGACTCTTTCTTATAAATATTTCTGCAGAGTCACCAAGCTGTATCATAGATGACTCAGTGACCATGGTGATGAGAAGGGCATGCGTTTACCTAAATGGTTTCCCTGGCTTCACAGACACCTGCTGTCGTACCTCACGGTGGGGATCTTAAGATAAAAGGGACCTGAGGAGAGTAAGTCTTTTTTGTGTTCGCTTTAGAGAAGAAGAATCACAGGCTTATAGAAGCCACATTTCTTGCCTAAGGTCAGTGACAGCACATTGAAACTGTATCCGCTGCCACTGTTCTCAGACCTTGGCTTCCTGAAGGTGCCTGAGTTATGCCCAATGTCACCCGTGCTCTCTCGTATCAGCATCTCTGGTGAATTGAGAGCACGTTGCCCAGGCCTCAGTCTGGTTACTGTGCTGTTCAAGCCCTGGCCTTTTGTGATATTTTTTGGTTTTATAGGCAGAAGGTGGAGAATTATGCAGACAGGTAACAAAGCCTGATGGAGAGGCGTGTCTTGATAAGGCAGAAGGTGGAGAACTATGCAGACAGGTAACAAAGCCTGATGGAGAGGCGTGTCTGCCACCTGAAAACCCTTTGGGGTTAATTGGAAAAGGTCACCGGAGACATCAGTGATTCCTACGCCCCTTCCTACAGGAAGCAGAAGGGACCTTATGAGAGGCCATCTTACTGATTCAACAATAATGAAAAGACCCAGATTAATAGAAGGGGAAAGTAAATCCTCAGGTCCCTTGCACTGACTGAGGAGACTGTCAGGGGATGTCACATGGGAGAGGGACGCCCTGTGGTGAGGAAATAGTCCTCCAGGCTCTTCGACTAGTGAGCGAGGAGCAGCCAGAAATGCTGAGTGGTGACCTGAGAAAAGCTGACTCTACTGTTGTGGCACCTGGTCCTCTTGTTACGTTAGTGAAAAGCACCACCCAGCGAGGGAAGAGGTGAGACAATTGTCTATACTGTTAGGTATCAGTATTCCCACACACCTGGTCTTTGGATAATGCCTTTGCTCTCCCCGGATGGGGTTGGCAGATGGAGCCCACCCAGTGTTTCTAACTGTCTGCGAGGTCTGCCTAGAAAGATCCCTTCAGGTCCAGCGAATCGATCCACGAGTATTTTTGCCCATAGATTGTGCGCCACACCTTTGCCACATTCTCCTGAGGGCGTAGATGGTGTAAGAGGGGCTGTCCTGATGGAGTGATCCGGCAGCAGATGGCGTAAGGGGGTGACCAAGGGCGACGGTGCGTAGTGCAGACGGTAACTTTGTGAAGCACAGAGGAGGAGGAGTCCGGGAAGCTCAGGAGGGTCAGGAACTACTTAGCCATCCTGCCGTGGACTCTGGAGCATGGTGGGCGAGGGCTCAGCAGAGGGGCGGAGGAGCTGGTGTGCCCAGCGAGAGGGCAGCGGAGCCCGGGGGAGTGACCATGGTGTGGGGGCCGGACGAGCAGGCCCACGTGCTTAGGCACGGCCTTCCTGAGAGCAGGCCTGACCAGCTCCCCAGACTTCAGCCCCGGTGAACCTTTCCCTCAGCTCCGCCCTCCTCAGTGACAGCTGGACTTGGAGAAAGGAGGGAACCTTAGGGGTCCTGAGGGTTTAGCCTCATGAGGTTCAGAAATCTAATGGAAGAGCCTCAGGTAAGAGAGAAAAGGGCAGGGATTGTGGCTCCGGAGAGAGGGGGTTAACCCAGCCCGTACCGGGCCCTTAACAACATATTGTGACATTTCATCCTCATGACCACCGGAAGGTAGCTAGCTTTATTGTTGTAATTTTACACATCAGGAAACTGAATTCAGAGAAGCTGTAAGTTACTTGTCCAGGTCCACACAGCAGTAAGTGACCTCTGAGGTCCCCCAGGTCAGACGTCCTGGGGTTAGCGCTTCTGGCCCACGGCAACTCCGGCCTGGTCAGTGGGGACTCACTCACTTGAGAGAGGCGTCCAGGTTTTACCCTTGTCCCTTCAGCCCCTTTAAAAGGATGGAGTCTTTCTGTTGCCACAGACTAGCTTATTTGCCTGCTGCCACCTCTTAAGACAAGGACTCTAAATCAAACAGTGTGTCACGTCTTTCCTGTCCTCTCGAGGAGAGAAAACACACACCATCCACTGAGGAGGTCTGAAGGGCCGCCCTCGGGAGTGACGAGCCCGCTGCCCCCCGCCGCTGCCCCGTGTCTGCTCCCACAGGGCAGCCCAGGGGATCTTAAAGAGACAAGCAGATCTCCCTGGCCTCCCACTGTTCACCCTGACAACCCCTGTGGCACAGGTGGACCCGCGGTCCCCGGGGCTGAGAGCTCCGTGCGTCCTCCCAGCCTGCCCCCCGGCCCCCTGCTTCTGCCTGTCCCCTGCGAGCTGCTCGCTTCTCCGTTGCACTGACACGCGTGCGCTCGCTGTGTCCTCTGCTGGAGTGCGCCCCTCCCACCCTCATGGGGCAGCCTCCTGTCGCCACACGTTCTTTCCCCGGAGAGGCGGCAGGGCTCCTCTGCCTCCTGACCAGAACATTTCTGGCTCTGACCTGGAGTTGCTGGGGGAAGGAATCTGTGGCCCGTCTGCCTCAGGCTCGCCTCTTAGCTGTCTGTTTTCTCCAGTTCCATCTTCAGTCATTCCTACGTTTATTGTCGAGGTTCCTGAATTTACTTAGACCATCTAAAATCAGTGACTTGACGGGATCAACCATGCTTTGTGGTTGCTTTGTGACGTTAGCGTGGCCATACTTACTGATTGAGATGGGCACCATTGTGAAGAGCCAGGCGTCCGATGTTCAAGTCCTGTCCAAGACTCGCTAGCGTGGCTTAGCCTTTCTGTGCCTCACTGGGTTTTGAGGATTAAATGAGTCAATAGTTGTAAAGCACTTACAGTATTTGGCACATGGTAAATGTTAGATGAAAATCAGCCTTTTTTGTTATTAACATAAGAAGCAAAAAGTATCACCAAGTTGGGTTTGGGAAGGGGTTTGAGGTGCATTAATCGAGCAGCTACAGTGCAGGACATGTGATGATGTCTCATTGATGGCTCTCACCCCACGAGACGGTGTGGTCTTCATGCTCTACATGAGGAAACGCGTGCTGAGAGGGTCATGTACCACTGAGTGGCTGGGATGGTGCCTGCGCTGAGCTCTGGTTTCAGTGTGTGTGTTCCTCCCCTCAGGTTGTGCTGCATTCGTAGAGAAAACAAGGGTTTGGAATTTTCTTTTTACCTTTTGGTCAGGCTCATGGGACTCGTTTTTGAAACCTAAACCTCTTTACTTTATTAATTTAGGATACCGTAACAGAATTCAATGAGGATTCCCTGGTAGGTCAGTCTATTGAGTTGTATTTTTAAATCTAGAATTCTGCTTTTACTAGAAAAAAAGCAAATTAATGGAGGAAAAATAGAAGAAAGGAATGAACCTAACTGTAGTTTTGTAGTTAGGTTGTAGTTTTCTGGTACTACAATAAATAAGACTCTTGGTTGAAAGTAATGGAAACCCAGATCAGATTAAAGTTTATGCATAAGATTGACATCTTTCTTGTAGATAGCAGGGCTGCCCCTTCTCTCTCCCCATCCCTAAGAATCTGTTAGCCTAACTTAGCCACATGCCAGATCCTAGAGCACCGTGTCCTGGGGTGGGCTGGAGGGAAAGGGGATATTCTGATTGACCTATCTGGGTCATTTATCCACTTCTGTGCTGGGTAATGTCAGGCCACGTGGTTGGCAGCCCCATCAGAGTCATGTGGAGGAGGGAGGAGTGTTCCTTAAAGAATGAGACACAAGACAGGCAAAAAGTAGTGTGTGATCCAAGCACCAATACTTTTGTCTTGTCCTAATTACATTTTATCTTGGCCAAAATTCGCAAAAGTGAAATGGTTTATTACAGATTGTAGAAGGAGATTGTGTCCAAGCTGCTAAAAATAACCCACGACTCAACTCCCCTTATAGAGAGATAAGCAGTGGGGTTGATAGTCCTTTGCTGTCAAGTGCCCCTGACAGGAGGTGTGGTTCTCTGAGTTCTGATTACGTGCCAGGAGCTAGTGGGAAACTCTATTTCAGAAAATATACTATCTATATGAATATTATTTGAAATTATGAAAGTCCACAAACTCTCTTTTTCTAAAAGATTTATGCAGTGTTGGGAGGGGGAGAAGTACCCATAAAAGGAGAACAGAAGTCAGTTACTTTGAGGGGAAGAAGAGAGAGAGATGTAATCGGATCACCAGGAGAAGGGAAGAAGAATGCCATTCATTTATCTCCTTGACTTTTTTTTTGAGATATAATTGACACATCGGTTTATGTGTACTGCCCGTTGATTTGACACATTTATTTGTAAAGTTATTACCACCACAGTGTAACCTAGGCTAAAACCACAGTGTTACCACCTCCGTGCCATCACATAGTTACTAACTCTTTTCTGTGGTGAGAACATTTAAGACCCACTCTTTAAGCAACATTCAAGTATATGACGCAGTATTATTTGCTTTGATCACCATGCTGTGCGTTAGATCCCCAAACTTGTTAATCTTATAACTGGAAGTCCCTACTCCTAGGCCAATATCTCCTCATTTCCCCTCCCCCCACCCCTACTGGCCACCATTCTACTCTCTGTTTCTCGGAGTTTATCTTTTTTAGATTCCACATGTAGGTGATATACAGTATTTGTCTTTCTCTGTCTGACTTATTTCACTTAACACAATGCCCTGAAGGTCCATCCAGGTTGTCATATAGCAGGATTTCCTCCTTGCTCATGGCTGAATAATATTCCATTGTGTATACATACGTGTATGTATATATATATTATATATATATATCCATCCGTGGATGGAAGCTTGGGTTGTTCTTGTATCTTGGCCATTGTAAATAATGCTGCTATGAACGTGGGGGTGCATATATCTTTTATTATAATTAGTGTTTTTGTTTTCTTCAGATAAATACCCAGAAATGGAATTCCTGGATCATATGGTAGTTCTATTTTTAATTTTTTGAGGAACCTCCATACTGTTCTCCGTAGTGGCTGCACCAATTTACATTCCCACCAACAGTGCATGAGGGTTCCCTTTTCTCCACACCCTCTCCAATGCTTGTTACCTCTTGTCTTTTTGACAGTAGGCATTCTGTCTGGTATGTGGTGATATCCTGTGGTTTTGATTTGCATTTCCCTTATGACTAGTGATGTTGAGCCCCTTTTCATCTATATGTTGGCCATTTGTATGTCTGTTTTGGGAAACTCTCTTCAGTTCCCCTGCTCATTTTTTAATCAGGTTGTTAGGTTCTTTGCTATTGGGTTATATGAGTTCCATATATATTTTGAATATTAACCCATAGTTTGGGACCTTTTTTGTGGTGTGCAAGATATATTTTTTTAATAACAGTTGTTTTCAAAGATTTATTTTTTATTTATTTTTGGCTGCATTGGGTCTTAGTTGCGAGATGCAGGATCTTCATTGAAGCATGCGGGATCTTTCATTGCGGCACGTGGGCGCTTCGTTGTGGTGTGTGGGCTTCTCTCTAGTTGTGGCCTGCAGGCTCCAGGGCACATGGGCTCAGTAGTTGTGGCATGCGGGCTTAGTTGCCCTGCGGCTGTGGGGTCTTAGTTCCCCGGCAAGGGATCGAACCTGTGTCCCCTGAATTGGAAGGCGGATTCTTTACCAGTGGATCACCAGGGAAGTCCCTATAATAACTTTATTTTATTTTGAATTTTATTTTATTTATTTTTTTATACAGCAGGTTCTTATTAGTTATCCATTTTATACATGTTAGTGTATATATGTCAATCCCAATCTCCCAATTCATTACATTTTTTTTTTTTAAGTTGCGGCATGCGGGACCTAGTTCCCTGACCAGGGATCGAACCCAGGCCCCCTGCATTGGGAACACAGAATCTTAACCACTGCACCACCAGAGAAGTCCCCATACTGTTTTGATTACTATAGCTTAGTAATATAGTTTAAAATCAGGAAGTGTGATGCCTCTAGCTTTGCTCTTCTTTCTCAGGATTGCTTTGGTTATTTGGGATCCCTTGTGGTTCCATACAAGTTTTACAATTGTTTTTTGCGTTTCTGTGAAAAATGCCATTGAAATTTTAATAGAGATTACAGTGAATCTATAGATGGCTTTGGGTAATGTGAACATTATAACAATATTCTGATCCATGAACACTGGATATCTTCCCATTTATTTGTGTTTTCAGTTTCTTTCATCAAAGTCTTATAGTTTTCAGTGTATAGGTCTTTCATCTCCTCGGTTAGGTTTATTCCTAAGAATTTTATTTTATTTTTTGATGCTATTATGAATGGGATTTTTTTCTTCATTTTTTTTTCTGATGTTTCGTTGTTAGTGTATAGAAACACAACTGTTTTCTGTATGTTGATTTTGTATCCTGCAACTTTCCTAAATTTCTAGCAGTTTTTTTGGGTGGAGTCTTTAGCATTTTCTGTATATAAGATCATATCATCTACAAACGAAGACAGTTTTACTTCTTCCTTATCTATTTGGAAGCCTTTTTTTTTTTCTTTTTCTTGCCTGATTGTTCTGGCTAGGATTTCCAGTATTGAATAGGAATGGTGAGAGTGGGTAGCCTTGTCTTGTTCCTGATCTTAGAAGAAAAGCTTTCAACCTTTTGCTGTTGAATATGACGTTAGCTGTGAGCTTGTCATATATGGCCTTTATTTTGTTGGTACGGTGCTTCTATACCAAGTTTTCTGAGCACTTTTTATCATGAGAGGATGTTGTACTTTGTCAAATGCTTTTCTGCATCTGTTGAGATGATCATTTTTTTCTCTCTCTTTCTGTTAATGTGGTGAATCCCATTTATTGACTTATGGCTATTGAACCTTCCTTGCATTCCTGGAATAAATCCCACTTGATAATGCTGTATGATCCTTTTTTTTTTTTTTGCGGTATGCAGGCCTCTCCTGTTGTGGAGCACAGGCTCTGGACGCACAGGCTCAGCGGCCATGGCTCACGGGCCCAGCCGCTCCACGGCATGTGGGATCTTCCCGGACTGGGGCACGAACCCGTGTCCCCTGCATCGGCAGGCGGACTCTCAACCACTGCGCCACCGGGGAAGCCCTATGATCCTTTTAATGTGCTGTTGAATTTGGTTTGCTAATATTTTGTTGAGAATTTTTACATATGTATTCATCAGGGTTATTGGTCTGTAATTTTCTTTTCTTGTACTGTCCTTATCTGGATTTGGTAATGATGGTCTCATAAAATGAGTTTGGGAGTGTTCCCTCCCGTTCAGTTATTTGGAAGCGTTGAGAAATATTGTTAATTCTTCTTTAAATGTTTGGTAGAGTTCACCAGTGAAACCATCTGGTCCTGGGCTTTTCTGTTTTGCGAGGGTTTTATTTACTGATTCAGTCTCCTTACTCAATATTGGTCTGTTCAGATTTTCTGTTTCTTCATGAGACTCAGATTTAATAGGTTTGTATGTTTCTAGGAATTTATTCATTTCTACTAGATTATCCAGCTTTTTGGCATATAATTGTTTTTGCAGTTTCTTACGATCCTCTGTGTTTCTGTGGTATCAGTTGTAATGTCTTTGTTCATTTCTGATTTTATTTATTTGAGTCTTCTCTCTGTTTTTCTGAATTAGTCTCATAAAGGTTTGTTACTTTTGTTTATCTTTTCAAAAAAAAAATCAGGTTCATTGATCTATTGTATTTCTGGTTAGGTCCTCTTACTTTAACTTTGGGAATAGCAAAGTTCATTTGTCAAAGGAGCCACTCTCTCCAGATGAGAAGGATGAGTGGAATTACTCCTGTTTCAACAGTTTCTGTAATAGGGTCTGTCCTTTAATTTTCGAAAGCCTTGGCTGTAAGTGGGGGGAAAGAAAGAGTCGGGAAAAAACAACCCTCAGTGACTGAATCCCACTACCAGCCTCGTGGGAAAAGCCAAGGTTGGTGGTTTTCAAACTTTTGATCATGTCCACAATAGGACATACATGTTACACTAGGACCCAGAAAACCCAGGTGGGCACAGCTGAGCTGTAAGAGATAATCCTTGACTCTGAGGATGCCACAGTGCATGCTGATGCTTTTTATTAGGCTTTATTCTGTTTTGTTTTAGTCACAGTGCACTGTAGGATTTTTGGTTTGTTTTGCGTTGTTTTTAATGCTGGTCCTGACCCACTGTGGGTGGCGCTGGCTCGCGGGTGCTTGCAGAAGGGCGGCAGGAGGGCCCCAGCGGGCTCATGTTCGGTGCCGCCCCACCCCCGGCAGCCTTCAGGCCACCACCGCTTGTGTTCATTCTTGGTTTCCCCAGAAATGCTCCTCTGGCTCTTCATGTGACCACATCTTTGTTCTGCACACACTGCCACTTTGTTTGCGGGCCCTGCCGTGCAGGCTTCGGTCTTTGCTCCAAGCCCTGATTGGGTGATGGCTCCGTGGCCTCCACACATCCGGGCACAGGGGAGAGGAGGGCCTGGCCTCCCTGGACAAGAAGCCTGGGCCTGGGGAAGGCCGGTGCCGGGGCGAGCGGACGACCGTGCCAAGACCAGGGGTCAAGCTGGGAATCTCAGAGACTTGCTCACCCTCTTCCCCTGCCCCTTGCTGCCTGCAGGTAAATTCTACTGCAAACCACACTACTGTTACCGGCTGTCCGGGCCTGTACAGAGGAAGAGACCAGCAGTGGCCCCTCTGTCTGGAAAGGTAATGTTGATCGGCCGCAGGGGGCGGGGGGGCAGCAGGTGCTGTTTCAGTGTGGTGACAGGTCAGGGTGTGGCCAGCAGGCCCTGAATGGCCACTGCATTGCCTTTCCTGTGAGTGGGAGGGCCTGAGAGATGGTCACAGTCCGATATGGGGAGGGAGCATCTTTTCAAGCCTAATCTAATGTTGGGTTTCAGTAAGGTGATGTTCCAGCACCACCTGAGTTGGATTTGGAAGACCATGTCGGACCTTGTCTTCTGCTTACTGTGTAAAAAAAGCCTTTTGCCTTTGAAAATCTCGCCCTTCCTGAGAGGAGGACACCGGAAAAGGACTTGGCTAGAAATAAATGCTCTGCAGCCAATTCCTTGAACTTTCTATATTCTGGGAATTACTTATCTAAGAACCTTCTTTTTACAAAAAAAAAAAAAAAAGTGAGTGTGATCAGCTCCCGCATCTGTCTTTCCAAGTGAGCTGTGTTCTCTCCGCTCTGTGGTGTTGCCCTGTGGGCGTGCAGTTGACTGATGCTCCCAGGAGGGCCTCTGCGGACTGCAGAGAGCCTGTGGGGGAAGGGACGTGAGGTGCCTGCGACTCCCGCGTGAAGTGTGCCCTGGTGCACCTCTGGGTTTCCTGGTGAGGGCAGCAGACCAGCAGCCAGGCGTCATTGTCTCCTGAGATGTGGGTGCTTCACTCAGTCACTCTTCCTCTTCTTGTGGACTTTCCTAGGAGGCCAGGGGACCCCTGCAGGACAGCCCTGCTGCAGACACCAACGGACAGCCCAGCACCAGTGCCAGCCCTGCCGAGAGAACTCCAGGTAGCCTCACTTCCTTGTTTGGCTGGGTGGCGCGTCACTCTCTCGGCCTCTGTGACAAGGCCAAGGGGATGAGCCAGCACCTCCAAAGCAACATTTCTTCAATTGGGCATCAGGTGGCCCAAAACCCTCTGGACTCCTTTTTCATGTGCCAGCTGCTTGCATTCGGAGTCCCCTTTCTCTATGGCCTGTCGGAGGTGCTGGTACAAATCAGAGGGGAGTTTCACTGGCCGACCGTGAGCCAGTAGGGGTGCCGTCTGGTGAGCGGCGTCACCCAGGCTTCGGAACTGTCTATTCAGAATCTCAAATTTTTATTGCTGGAGTCCTGGGACCTGCCCACATCCATCAGATACCTTGGGGGATTGGCCCAGGCCCTGTCTAGGGAACAGGAGTTCAAAACAGGCTGCTTTTAGCACTGACCCAAGTGATGACCCAGGGCAGTGGGGCCTTCCTGTAGTCCCTCGCTGTGGGCTCCTTGGATAGAGCGTGGAATTGTGAAAAGGCCCCAAGGTCTGAATGTGTGTCCACCTGAACTGGACATCCTCCATCCTCTTCCCTGCTCAGGTGTCTAGGTGAGCTGCCACTGCTGCCCCACCTCACCTGTAACCCCTGAGGGACATGCCCTGTCCTGGTCATTTTGGGGCATTTGAACTCCTAACGAGGATCAGGCCCTGATTGGTCCCACTTTCACTAACCTCTTCCTGTGTCAGGAGGTGAGTGCCACCACCCCACATCTAAAAACACATTTGTTCTGGTCTCGAAGGTCAGGAGAAGGAAGGGCTCATGGGCACCGGACTTCTTGTGAAGAATTGTGGTTTTTCCTTAAAATCACCTCTCCCCACTCCCTGCCAAACCAGCCTGTGACATGTGTCCACAGTTCCACAGATGTGGGTGGTCCTGATGCCCTGCGCAGCCCCGACACGTCATAGCCCACGGTCACTGTAGCCAGTCGGAGAGGAAGTCGTCAGGGCCCTGTTTTCACCTGTCACAAGTTTCTTCCCTTCAGAGCAAATAGGTCTCAAGCAGCCGTTTACAAACTCACAGAAATCACCATATTGAAAACTAAAGATTATCAGCTAAGGCCAGAAACTATGGAGAGGGAGTTGGTAGTGGAATTTCCAAAATGGGAGAAGAGAAAAGTTATCCACTGAGCCTTCAAATGGGAGGTTAGCAGAGTTGCTCCTTCGCCCGTGCTCCGGAACTAACGCAGGCCCCGTGGTGTTGATCTGGGGCAGGAGGGTGTCCCAGACGCTGGGCAGTGCCCCTGGGTGCAGTGACTGGAGTTTAGGTGAACTCAGCTTCTGCTGCTATGTGTGTCCTGATAAAATCTAGGCAAGTTTTTAAGTGCCCTGCAGATTGGACCAATATTTTATAGCCATGTTTAAGCTACAAATGACTTGGTACCCCTTGAGCCCCTTTATAATCTGTCTTTTTCAAGAAGTGCTGATGGCCCTTGCAACAGGGGAGCCGGTAGAGACAGGGCGTGTGCCTTTGAGCAGGTGGGAACCACCTGGGTGCTCAGCAAACAACTAAAATGTTCGGCTCTCTTTGTGGGCATCTGAAGAGCGAAGCCAGTGGAGGTCAGGCCGTTCCTGAGCCAAGGTCGTGCACTCTGTCCAGTTCAGTTTGCCGTCTCTGCCTGCCTGCTTTGAAAGCATAGTGGGCTTCGGGTTTTTAGCAGTTGTGGAGAATTAAGTGTTCCATAGAGAAGAGGACCACTCTGTGAAGCAGGGAGAGAAGATGAGAGCTGGGGTTGTGGTGACAGAATCAAAGTCCTGAGGACCTTCTTGATTCTGAAGGTGATGCGCCTGTCACAGCGTGAGGGGTTCAGGATGTGAAGCCCAGTTGGAGGTGCCCTGTGGGCAGTGGCAAGGCCAGCACCCGGGGCCGCTGGGGTCCAGTGAGTCCCTGCCTCTGGAGGCCCGAGCTTTCTGAGAGCGCGGTTCCAAGTGGACATGCCGTGGAGCACCAGCACTTTCCCTTCGTAGAACAGGAGCAGGGTCGTGGGTGTATGTTCTAGCTGGCAGGAAATTGGTTTCTTTTTCTCCTTTAATAAGGATTCCCTTCTTTAAATCCCAAACCAAAGCTTTGATTGGTTAACTAGAACTTCCTTTTGAAAAGCTTCAGAAGAACTCAGGTGTTTCGGGGCTTCAGGAAGTGTGTTGTGGACGGCTGTGGTCAGGCTGGTTCTGGGCACGTCCCCTGGGCTGCACTCTGAGCAGAGTGAGTAATACGTGGAGCACGGTTCACGCCCCAGATCCACGTCCCCCAGGAGGTCGTCTGGAGGAGACGTGACTGTGGCTGGCACGGCTCTGTGCCCCCCTTTAGCTTGTGGCATTTCCCTCTCTTCCCTTATGTTCTTCTCTTACACCAAAACGACTGCTGTTGCCAAAAAAGCAAACACAACCCGCGAGTTAGAACCTGGTCTGGCGTCATCTGTCTCTGGCCCCCTGGCCCGCAGCTGCTGCCTGATTTAGCATCTTTGTTTGTAATGTGCTTTTAATGTAGAAACTCTCTTTGCTGTTCTCAAAATCAGTAAGTGCTTTGTTTCCAAGCTTCTTATACTTAGTGCTGCAGGTCAGTGGACCTGGCACAGATTTTCTTACCCTGGCCTCATAGTACCTGCCCTGACTTTAGGAAACATTTGGATAACAACAGGCAGAGAAAGAAAACCCCCAGTGGGATGTTGTGCCCTTGAATACAAGACCCTCAGTTGAAGGTTTTTAGATCCTTTTTTCATCCAGAGGAATCCCCTTTGCACCTCACATAGTGGGTAACCAGAACTGAAGCGTACAGGCATGGGGTATCACAGGGAACAGAAGAGCTTTGCTTCCAGTACAGGTGACAGACATGGGATGGGAGAAAGGCTTCATTGTCTGTCGTCTTACGGAAAGATGATCTTAACATAAAAGGCTGCCTCGCTGTGGCTGCCGCATGCCGCGTCCCCAGACACACCTGCACGGTCACCCTTGGGTTCCATAGTCTGGATGCTGAATGAGCCATTAGGAAACGCAGGCATTTCCCACACCAGCTAGAATAGCCACGCGCGGTACAATCCTGGGTTCCTGCCGTCAGGAGGATCTTCCCACTGCTTCCCAAGCCCTCTTCCCTTATAGGCATTTCTGGAAAACCTATTTAGAAAAGCAAAGAGAATTCCGAATCCAGCTTCACTCTCCAACCCCACCCCAAGGGTCCAAGTAGACGGTGATGTGTGAACACATATATATACGCACATGTGTTTGCGCTGGCTTAGTTTCATATCTACAAGTACACGTTTATATGTTGTGCCCTAAGTGGTGATAACAATACTAGTGAAGCTTCCCCAAGCTTCTTGTCCCTGGGCTCTGGCTTACACCGGGGACCATGCCACTGACCTGGCTTAGTGTTCCCGGGGAGGTGGGGACCGTGGGGGCAAGTGCCCCCGGACATGAGCAGTGCACACTCCCCACCCCAGAAAGCTGACTTAGACAAAGCAGGGGAGCAGGGCTCTCGCTCAGGAACCCCACGGGACCGCTTCACTTCCAGGCGCGGGTCTGTTAGCACAGCTCCCTGCTGTCTCTTGGTGTTCAGTGTGTCTGTAGGACAGTGGAATCCTTAGTCTCTCCTGAAAGGGGCCTCAGCATGGCCTTCAAGGCCTGGCCAGTGAGTTAAGGGGTTCTGCACCCACTTTTCCTGATCTGTTAAGCTTGGGGTAGAGGGCGGGGGCAGGCAGCAGGCGGGTCCCCAGGAGTGGTACAGAGGCCAGAGCTGTGCCAGGGACGGTGCACCTGTCCGTCTCCGGCCTTCCTGCCGTGAAGCCTCGCCTTTGCCTTCGTCTCTAACCTGTGCTGTTGTGCGTTTTGGTGTGTTTCTTTGTGAGTTGTTTTTATTTAATTGTGTAACTTTGTTTTTCCGTTATTGTGAAACTAAGGTGTTGTGCTTTTAATTTTTTTTAACAAGTGTTACCGTTCTTATTTAAGAGAATAAATTCCAAACAATCTTCAGGTTTCTGAGTATTTCTTTTCCTCCCCTTTTTCCTGATTGGAGGGTGGGGAGGGGTCGCTCCAGCAGGTCTCAGGAGTGGGTGTGAAACCACGGTACCTCAGGATTCTCACTCCGGGGCTGGGCTCGGGAGAGAACGTAGGTGTATTAAAATGGGGAAACAGGGTGTTTATACCTAAAATACAGGTTCCCATTAGTGGAAGGGCCCCTGTTTGAGGGGGGCATGGTGGAAGACATTTTGCTTCCTTGCTTAGAGGAAGATGCCACCTGTGTCCCCCATTCCATCATCCGGCATGAGGGCCCTGAGGCGGGAGCAGGTGAAGGAGAAAGCTCTCCGTGGAGCCTGCCTCTGCCTGAGCCCAGGCCGTGCCCTCCTCTTTCCGACTAGCTGGTACCGTGGGGACCGGAGCGCTTGGGCGCCTCTTCGCTGCCTTGAGGCTTTTGCCTGGCGTCAGGGACGGTCCTTGCTCTGTCCTCCCAGCTCTGTCCTCCCAGCTCTGTCTGTTTCTGTGACCTGGACACACAGGCAGGGGGTCCAGTTCTGCTTGGCTGCTCGAGCCTGGAGAGCTGAGCCCCCTTCTCACACACACACTGTGACCTTGGCAGCGGGGCCTCTGGTGCCGGCTGGCCCGCCGACCACAGGGGCACAGCCGTTTGGGTGCTGAATGGGGCCAGGAGAGGGCACATCGGAGGGGGGTGCTCAGCGCCAGTCTGCGCCCACCGTGCTCTAGGTGATGGCGGCCTGATGTGAGGCGGCCTCCTGGCCTCCCCTCCACCCGGCGGCCCCCTTGGGTCCCTGCGCGGCCACAGCACCATCACTGGGTTGGGAGTTGGTCCCGGCATGGAGAGCACCTGCCTCTCCCGGCCTGCTCGCCACCCTCCCCCTTCTCTGAAATCAGTCAGTCTGGTCTGTCCTGGGCCCTGCAGAAGGCTGGGAGAAAAAGGAGTCGGGCTGAAGACCCTGGAGAGCTCCCTTTGGGTCGAGTTTCTTTCTGAAACTTGAAGCCCATTCTCTTTTTTTC